TCCTTAGCCTCCTTCCGGTCCGGCCTCAAGACCCTCCTCTTCGACCATGCCATCGGCCACCCCCCTTCTCCTCCCCTCCCTTCTCCCTCTCCTGACCCCAGCTTGGGTCTGAAATGCTGTACTTCAGCGCCTTGGGACGTCCTCCTGACGTGAAAGGCACTATACACATGTAATCTTGTTGTTGTTATTGTATGTCTGTGTGTGTGCGTGTATCATGCCTGTCCCTGGTTTCAGCCCGAGGCAGGCAGTGGAAGCGTTGAAGGAGAGGATCAGAGGTAACAGAAACTACAGAGAGGTTCGGTTGGCTTTATCGGTGAGTGTGCGCTGAGGAGGGAGAGGGGGAGCGGGAGAGGTGGGGGAGGCAGACCGGTGGGGTGGGGGTGCGTGAGGGAGCGCGGGGAGAGGGAGCGGGTGGGGAAGCAGAGCAGAGGTAGGGGGGGAATGGGGATGGGAAGGCGGTTGAGTTCTGGGGGAGCCCCGTCCGTGCCCTGATCTCCCCCTCTCCCCCCCCCCCCAGCTACTGGCCCTGATGGTGAGGAGGTGCCGGCCGGAGCTGCGGCAGGCCGTGTTCCGCAGGGAGTTTGTGCGGGACGTCCTGGCCAAAGTGCTGAAACCCAAATACAACCCCCCCATCGACGTCCAGAGCCACATCCTCAGCCTCATCCAGGTGGGACACCCCCTCGCCCTCACCCCCTCCCTCTCCCCTCCTTCTCCCTCTCCCCCTCCCTCTCCCCCTCCTCCGTGTCCCTCCCTCTCTCCCTCCCTCTTCCCCTCCTCCTCCCTCTCCCCTTCTCTTCCCTCCCCCCCCTCCTCCCTCTCCCCCCCCTCCTCCCTCTCCCCTTCTCCTCCCTCTCCTCTTCTCCTCTCTCTCCCCCCTCCTCCCCCTTCATCTCCCCCTCCTCCCTCTCCCCCTTCCTCCCTCTCCCCTCCTTATCCTCCTCCCCCTCCCATGCTCCCCCTCCCTTTCCCTCCTCCTTCATCCCCTCCCTTTACCATGCTCTCCCCTTTTTTCTTCGGCCGTGCCTTTGGTCACACTCCCGCCCCACTCTTCCTGCCCGCTCTTAATTCCAACCCCCAGGTCAGGTGCAAACCCTTCACCGTCCAACTCCTTCGGACATCCTTCCGATGTGAAAGGTGTAAATGTAATTTGTTGTTGTTGTTCATAGTATCTTACAGCACAGAAGGAGGCCGTTTAGCCCATCGGGCCTGTGCCGGCTCTTGAAAGAGCTACCAACCAGTCCCACTTCCTCACTCTTACCCCAACCAGTCCCACTCCCTCACTCTTACCCCAACCAGTCCCACTCCCTCACTCTTACCCCAACCAGTCCCACTCCCTCACTCTTACCCCAACCAGTCCCACTTCCTCACTCTTACCCCAACCAGTCCCACTCCCTCACTCTTACCCCAACCAGTCCCACTCCCTCACTCTTACCCCAACCAGTCCCACTCCCTCACTCTTACCCCAACCAGTCCCACTCCCTCACTCTTACCCCAACCAGTCCCACTCCCTCACTCTTACCCCAACCAGTCCCACTCCCTCACTCTTACCCCAACCAGTCCCACTCCCTCACTCTTACCCCAACCAGTCCCACTCCCTCACTCTTACCCCAACCAGTCCCACTCCCTCACTCTTAACCCAACCAGTCCCACTCCCTCACTCTTAACCCAACCAGTCCCACTCCCTCACTCTTACCCCAACCAGTCCCACTCCCTCACTCTTACCCCAACTAGTCCCACTCCCCCAACTTTACCCCATAGCCCTGAAATTTTCCTTTTCAAATGCCTATTGAATTCCCTTTTGAAAGCTATTATCGTTGTTGTTTGGTTCACTCTCTCACCCACACACTCTCTCTCTCTCTCTCTGTCACCCTCACACTCACTCTCTCTCTCTCTCTCTGTAGCTCTGGGCCACGAGTTTCCAGGGTGGGGTGGATGTCAGTGAGGTGCAGCAGTTGTTTACGGAGATGAAAGGGAAAGGGATGATATTCCCAGCTCCAGGAAGCCTCCCGGCGGGAGACACGGGTGCAGTGAGTGACAGAGTGAGTGAGCGGCTCAGCCTATCATAGAGAAACCCAACTAAACTGCAAAATGTCACATGTCAGTGCGTGTGGGCGCATGGTGGTGCATGTCGGGGCATGTTAGTGCATGTGGCGCATGGTGGTGCATGTTGGAGCATGTTAGTGCGTGTGGCGCATGGTGGCGCATGTTGGAGCATGTTAGTGCGTGTGGGCGCATGTGTAGTGTGTTAGTGTTCCACTAATCCCGGAAGCTGAAATCTCTTTTTGGGTGACGTGCTTGAGAACAGCATGAATTGGATGTCCCCGTCCCGCCGACCCCCCATCCCCCCGGCTCCCCGACCCCCCGTCCCCCCGACCCCCGGCCCCCGGCCCCCCGGCCCCCCCGGCCCCCCGACCCCCCGGCCCCCGGCCCCAGGTGATCCAAAGCTGATTATTTTCTTGTTTTCCTTCTCCAGGCGACGGCTCCGCCCACCTCCCCGGGCCCCCAGCAACCCAGCCCCCTCCTCACCCCCGTCACCTTGAAGCCCGAGCAGGTGAGACACCAACAGCCAGAGCCAGCAGTGCCATTGAGGGTGTTTCCCTCAGCGACCCCACCTCCTTCACCCCCACTCCCTCTTCCCCTCCCCACCCCCTTTCCTCTCACATTCCCCGCCCTCACTCTCCTTCCCCACCCCCTCTCCCTCCACCATCCCCACTCCCCATCCCCTAACCCCTCTCCTCCCCCACTGATCCCAGTTACAAGACACCACATCCCGGCTGTTCCGCTCTCACCCTGTTCCCCCCCATACCGCCCGCCCCCCAGGTTGGAAAGCTGCACAGCGAGCTGGACATGGTGGAAATGAACATCAAAGTCATGTCCGAAATTTTACTGCAGAACGTTCCAGGCTCTGAGAATGCTGAGGATATGGAGCTTCTACAGGTCAGATTTCCTGGGATTTGTACAATAACACACATTCCACTTGTGCCTCACTCTGACACGGGGATGATTCCCAAAATCGTGGGGTTCCGCTCAGCTGCTTCTGCCCTTCTGATCACTAACCCCTCCCCATCTCCCCCTCACAACCTGGTCCCTACCCATCTCTCCCTCCACACCTTCAAACTTGTCTCCCCCTCCTCTCTCACCACCACCGTAACCCACATGAAACTGACCACCTTCTCCCATGACCCCATCCCTACCCCTCTCCTTAACTCCCAGCTCCACCTCCTTGTCCCCGTACCCACAAACATCATAAACCTCTCCCTGTCCACTGGGACTGTTCCCACCCCTTTAAAAACAACTGTTTTCACTCCTATCCTTAAAAGACCCTCCCTGGACCCATCCCTGTTCACAACAACAACAATAACAACAAAATTCATTTGTAAAGCACCTTTCACATCGAGAGGACATTCCAAGGACAGTCAGTGTTTCGGACTTCGGACAGTGCTGGGGGTTGGGGTCGGGGAGTGTAGAGGGCGGGGGGGGGAAGCAGGTCGAAGAGTAAGGTCTTGAGGTAGATCTTGAAGGAGGCAAGGGAGGGGGCGAGGCGGAGGGCCTGCGGGATGGGGTTCCAGAGGTGGGGGCAGAGTGGCTGAAGCTCCACCCGCCAATAGTGAGGCGAGCGATGCAGGGGATGTGAAGCAGGCCGGAGCCCGCTGATGGAGGGAGCGAGCAGGTTGGCAGGGGGTTAGGAGATCCCAGAGGTAGGGGGGAGCAAGGACATCGAGGGCTTTGAAGATGAGGATGAGGATCTTGAACTGTATTCCTCTTGATGGGAAGTCAGTGGAGTTTCACAAGGATGTGTGTGATAGGGTCACGGAGCCTAGTGCGGGAGAGGACATGGACTGCAGAGTTCTGGATGATCTGCAGCCTATGGAGGGAGGAGTTGGGGAGGCCGACAAGCAGGGAGTTTGCAAAGTCAAGCCTTGATGTTATGAATGCATGTATGAAGGTCTCGGGGCCTGAGACAGTGGCGGAGGCGGGCAATGTTGCGGAGGTGGGGGAAGGCAGAGCGGGTCATGGCACTACCACCCCATCTCTAACCTCCTTTTCCTCTCCAAGGTCCTGGAATGAGTTGTTGCTTCCCAGCTTCTCTCTTTCCTCTCCCCCCACTCCCTTCATGATCCCCTCCAATCCGGTTTCCGTGCCGCCCACAGCACAGAAACAGCCCCGGTCAAACTGACAAATGACATTCTGTCTATCTGCGACCAGAGCTCCCTCTGCCTCCTCGTCCTCTCTGCTGCCTTCAACACCATTGACCACTCTATCCTCCTCCACCGCCTCTCCTCTCACCTCAACCTTCATGGTTCTGTCCTTGAATGGTTCAGATCGTATCTCTCACATCGCCTCCAATTTGTCTCCACAAACGGTTTCTCCTCCAGCCCCCTGTCTGTCTGTCCCTGATGCTGTGTGTGTGTGTCTGTCCCTGATGCTATGTGTCTGTCCCTGACGAGGTATCTGTCTGTCTGCCTGTCTGCCTGACTGCCTGCCTGTCTGTCTGTCTGTCCCTGACGCTGTCTGTCTGTCTGTCTGTCTGTCTGTCTGTCTGTCTGTCTGTCCCTGACGCTGTCTGTCTGTCTGCCTGTCCCTGACGCTGTCTGTCTGTCTGCCTGTCCCTGACGCTGTCTGTCTGTCTGCCTGTCCCTGACGCTGTCTGTCTGTCTGCCTGTCCCTGACGCTGTCTGTCTGTCTGCCTGTCCCTGACGCTGTGTGTCTGTCTGCCTGTCCCTGACGCTGTCTGTCTGTCTGCCTGTCCCTGACGCTGTGTGTCTGTCTGCCTGTCCCTGACGCTGTCTGTCTGTCTGCCTGTCCCTGACGCTGTCTCTGGCTGTGACAGAAGCTGCTGTGTGTGTGTGATGAGATGGGGGAGCGGGTTACGGAGCTGCTGATACGGGTGGTGGATGGGGACATGATGGTGCGTCTGCTGCATGTCAACAAGGAGCTCAACAACGTCCTGCTCCGTTACCACAGGTCAGTGTGTGTGTGAGAGAGACTGCGTGTGTGTGAGAGAGACTCTCTCTCTGTGTGTGTGAGAGAGACTCTGTGTGTGTGTGAGAGAGACTCTGTGTGTGTGAGAGAGACTCTGTGTGTGTGTGAGAGAGACTCTGTGTGTGTGAGAGACTGCGTGTGTGTGTGAGAGACTGCGTGTGTGTGTGAGAGAGACTCTGTGTGTGTGTGAGAGAGACTCTGTGTGTGTGAGAGAGACTCTGTGTGTGTGTGAGAGAGAGAGACTGTGTGTGTGAGAGAGACTCTGTGTGTGTGTGAGAGAGACTCTGTGTGTGTGAGAGAGACTCTGTGTGTGTGAGAGAGACTCTGTTTGTGTGTGAGAGAGACTCTGTGTGTGTGAGAGACTCTGTGTGTGTGTGAGAGAGACTGTGTGTGTGTGTGAGAGACTCTGTGTGTGTGTGAGAGAGACTCTGTGTGTGTGTGAGAGAGACTGCGTGTGTGTGTGAGAGAGACTCTGTGTGTGTGTGAGAGAGACTGTGTGTGTGTGAGAGAGACTCTGTGTGTGTGAGAGAGACTGCGTGTGTGTGTGAGAGAGACTCTGTGTATGTGAGAGAGACTGTGTGTGTGTGAGAGAGACTCTGTGTGTGTGTGAGAGAGACTGTGTGTGTGTGAGAGAGACTCTGTGTGTGTGAGAGAGACTGCGTGTGTGTGTGAGAGAGATTCTGTGTATGTGAGAGAGACTGTGTGTGTGTGAGAGAGACTCTGTGTGTGTGAGAGAGACTGCGTGTGTGTGTGAGAGAGACTCTGTGTGTGTGAGAGAGACTGTGTGTGTGTGTGAGAGAGACTCTGTGTGTGTGTGAGAGAGACTCTGTGTGTGTGAGAGAGACTCTGTGTGTGTGTGTGAGAGAGAGAGACTGTGTGTGTGAGAGAGACTCTGTGTGTGTGTGAGAGAGACTCTGTGTGTGTGAGAGAGACTCCGTGTGTGTGTGAGAGAGACTCTGTGTGTGTGAGAGAGACTCCGTGTGTGTGTGAGAGAGACTCCGTGTGTGTGTGAGAGAGACTCTGTGTGTGTGAGAGAGACTGTGTTGTGTGTGTGAGAGAGACTCCGTGTGTGTGTGAGAGAGACTCTGTGTGTGTGTGAGAGAGACTCTGTGTGTGTGAGAGAGACTCCGTGTGTGTGAGAGAGACTCTGTGTGTGTGTGAGAGAGACTCTGTGTGTGTGAGAGAGACTGTATGGATGGATGTGTGGGTGCATCTGGCATTGCTGTAGTGTCCTGTCAGTCTCTAAAAACAAACTCACAGGTACAAAACATTATCAAATAGTTGGCCTTTATCTCATCGCACCTCAGGAAGGATATATTGGCTCTGGAGGGGGTGCAGCGCAGATTCACCAGAATGATAGCAGGGCTTAAAGGGTTAAATTACAAGGACATAATTGAGAATTTTAAACTAATAAAGGGATCGATAGGGCAGCTACAGAGAAACTGTTTCCTCTGGTGGGGAACCAGCTTTATATTAGAGTCAGGCCAATTAGGAGTGAAATCAGGAGATAGTTTTTCACCCAAAAAGCTGTGGAAATCTGGATCTCTCTCCCCCAAAGGCTGTGGATGTTGGCTTCTTCAAGACCGAGGTGGATAGATATTTGTTGGATCAGGCTATGAAGGGATATTATGCATGATCTTACACAATGGCAGAACAGGCCTGAGGGGCTGAATGGCCTCCTCCTGTTTCGATGTCTTACTCACGGTCGGGGAGTTTGATGTTTCATTTCTTTTTCGCAGATTTAAGCGAAGTCAAGTCAGTCTGGCTCGCAACTCCGAGCGAGAGGCACCTCCGCAGGTACGTTAGTGGAGGTGAGGAGGTGGGGTGGGGGGAAGGTGCAATAGAGGAGATGGGGGGGATGGCGGAGGAGGAGGAGGGGTGGGGGAAAGGAGCTATAGGAGGGATGTGGGCGCCATGTCTCCAGCTCTATAACCTTTTCTCTGTTGCCAGACCCCCAGCTCCGAGCCCTCGGCCCCATGCTCCGTGAACAATCTCATTGACTTCAGATTCTCTTCAGCCCCAGGACTGCTCCCCATTGCCGGTAAGTCACAGCTCAGACCGGGGGCTCGCGGTGATAATATGTAAATTGTGATGGAGTGGGGTGGTGCGATGGGACGGTGGGGGGGTGAGGGGATGGGGGCTGCGACAGGGCAGCAGGTGTGATAAGGGCGGGGTCATGTTTTGGGCTGTGATGGGATGGAGTTGTGTGATGGGGGCCTGGCGGTGCGATGAGGGTGGGGATGTGTGGGGTTGGGGCGATGTGATGGGGTGATGCAGTGTGATGGAGGGTGGGGTGGATGTGTGTGTGATGGGGTGGGGCGGTGTGATGGGGCGAGGCTGTATGATGGGGTGGGGCCATGTTGTGGGGGGTGGGGCCATGTCGTGGGGGTGGGGCCATGTTGTGGGGGCGGGGCCATGTCGTGGGGCGAGGCGTAACTGTTGCTGTGTCTCAGGTCTGGGAATCGCCAACGCTGCACAGAGTGACCAGCCGGTGCCCTCGCTGCCCACACACAGCCCCGGCTCAGAGTGAGTGCGACAGGCGATTACGCACAGCAATGCCCCACAAACAGTCGTGGATCGAGTGACCAAATTTTTTGTTTGAAGGGACTGTTTACCCACTGGAGAAGCGATCCGCCAATCGACTAACACCGGGTTCCTACTTACTGCTGTAAACAGAGCTGTGTGGAGTAAGGAAATCTGCCTAAGGTTTCGCCCCGACTGGGAATCGAACCTGGGTCCTCTCGCTCGCAAGGCGAGTGCTCTAACCACGATGCTACAGGACTCCACAAGTTTGTGGTGAGATTTTTGTGGATAGAATCGTAAACCAGGGATCAGGATAACAGTGTGATTGGAGCATTAAAGTCTATCGTGTGGTGTTAGGGTCACAGGATTGTCCCACCACTTACCGTTAGGTAAACAGAGGCGCGGTTGTGGAGTAAGGAAACTTGCCCAAGGTTTCGCTCTGCCCGACCGGGAATCAAGCCCAGGTCCTCTCGCTTGCCAGTCGAGTGCTCTAACCACTGAGCTACAAGCGATGCCCTCCCCCACTCGCTGCTCTGTGCTGTTGTTCTGAAGTTCTCTCTCTGCCTGTGATCCCCAGGTGCCCCTCAGCCACACAGCAGCAGATGGCAGGTGCCCACTGGGAGTCGCTCTATAGCAATGTAAGTCCAGGGAAAGGGGGTCTGGGTGGTAGTGGGGGGAGGATGGGGGGGGGTGACAAGACAACCCCATTGGGGTCTCGGCGAAGCAGCGGGTGGGGTGGCGCCCAGCATGTGGGGGGTGTGGGGACATTGTCAGTAACATCTGGTATGTGTCTCTCCGAGGTTTCCCAGCCTGAGTGGCCCACGCTGACACCGGCCAACACACTCACCCCAATCTGTGCCCCCTCCCACACCGAACTCCTCCCAGCCTCACACAGGGGTACGTAACTCTACATGATCACCTTCTCACACACACTCACTAACACACACTTACTAACACACTCACTAACACACTCACTAACACACACTCACTAACACACACTCACTAACAGCCACAAACACACTCACTAACACACACAAACACACACACATCACTAACACACTCACTAATACACACTCACTAACACACACTCAATAACTAACACACAATCACACACTCACTAACACACACTCACTAACACATACACTCACATCACAGCGTTCCTCCCGCTGCTCGCCTCACGTGCACACACACACACACAGGCATGGACTTGTTAGGCTACGTGTGTGCGTGTGTGGGTGTATTTCTAACTCGCTCTCGGTCTGTGTGAGACTGTGTGTGTATTTTTCTCTCGAGCGCCTTGGGACGTCCTCCTGACGTGAAAGGCGCCATACAAAGGGAATTTGTTGTTGCTGTTGTTTGTGGCTGTGTTTTCTGTGTGTCACTGTGTGTGTGTGTGTGTGTGTTACACCATGGCTAGGAGCAGCCCGCTGATCCCCAGCCCCAGGCTCGGGGCAGGAGTAAAGTTGTGTGTCAGGTGAAATGTTATTGGTGTTTCAGGAAGTCCCCGGCCTGGCCCTTGGAAACCTACAGCTGCTGAGCTAATAGCTATGGAGTTTGACCCTCTTGTCGCCACTACCACTGAGTGAGTCTGCGCTCACACACACACACACACACACTCGGAATCCACACGGCTACTGTCTCAATGTTGCCTTTTCCTTGATGGCAAATTTCACCATTTCTCACCTCAAGGAGTTGCCTCTTGCCTGGTTGGGGGATGGGGGGTGGGAGAACCACCAGGAACCTTAGCTCGATTTGCGATCTGTTATTATATATAACAGTTTTGCTCACCAAACACACAGTCAAGTCACTTTACAGTATATCCTGTGAAGCGCTTTGAGACGTTTCACCGACGTGATAAGGCGCTGTATCAAATGCAAGGATTATTATTATTATCATATAGCCCCCCCACATTCCCCAAACCCCTGGATTCCATTCCCGTCTGTAACCTGGGATTGTTTCTGGTTCAGATCTATTCCTGACGTGATAAACAAGAGCAACTCGGAATGCTGACCTGCTCGGAGCAGTCTCCCTGTGACCAGGTACATGTTTTACACAGACAATACGCACTCACGCGCACATCTTAGCGGGGCTGATCACAGTCTCACACCGTGTGTCTGAAATACAGTCTCACACCAACAACAACTAATGACAGTTACCGGCAACTTTCACATCAGGAGGACATCCCAAGGGACTGGACAGTCAGCGATTTGGACCCAAGCTGGGGGACTGAGTTACATGTAGGAATATAATCTGTGGTTTTGTGTGTGGGGCAGCAAGTGGGCTATATAATAGCTGGAGGTTGTGATCAGGAGCGGTGAAGACCAGGGAGGGTGGGTATAGGAGGGTGGCCAGAAGGCGAGGCCAAAGAGGAAGATCTTGAAATGTGCCTTGAAGTAGACGAGGGTGGGGGGGGGGGGGGGGGGGGGGCAAGGCAAAGGGATTGTGAGATGGAGTTCCAAAGGGTGGGGGCAGAGAGGCTGAAAGCCCGACTGACGATGGTGGAGTGGGCCTGGCGGGGAACATGGAGCAGGTCTGAGCCTGCTGAGTGGAGGGAGCGGACAGGTTGATATGGGGTTAGTAGGTCACAGAAATAGAGACGAACAAATTCGAGGAGGACTTTGAAGGTAAAGAAGCCGGGCAAGGATGGGGGTGATTGGGATCACAGAGCCTGGTGCAGGAAAGGACATGAGCTGCAGAGTTCTAGATGATCGGCAGCTTGTGGAGAGAAGAGTTGATGAGACGGACAAGGAGCGAGTTGGTGTAGTCGAGCCTAGATGTAATAAATGTGTGGATAAGGATTTTGGTGGCCTGGTGGGGAGAAGCAGTGGCGGAGCCGGGCGATGTTGTGGAGGTGGGGGGAGGCAGGGCGGGTCATGGCATGGATCACATCCTAACCAGATGTGGATTCCTGGGGTCTTGCCCGTGATTCACTCCTTGATTGACTGATGGTCGATGTCCCTCTGCTCCGGCCAGAGGTTGTTGCTGTTGTTGTTGTGGGACACCGCTGTGCGCAATTGGCTGCTGCGTTTCACCATAACTGCAGTCACTACACTGTACAGTATATCCTGTGAGAAGCTTTGAAACAATGTGATAAGTCGCTATATCAAATGCAAGAATTATTATTATTACAGGTCCCTCTATGACAGATATGGCCCCTGAACCTGAACACGTCAGCCTGTCACTCCACATTTGCTGGGACTAATCTCTGCCTTGTTTGTCCTATTGACATTGATGGCCTCGCCTGTCACATTTGATATATACATGGCGGGGGTCAGCACTCCCGACAGTTAACAAAGTACCTTTCGCGTCAGCAGGATATTGCAAAGGGCTTCACGAGATATACCACCAAGTCACTATTTTGTGGCCCTTGTCGGGGATGGAGAAAATAATTTAACAACAACAACAAAATTACATTTGTATTGCGCCTTTCATATCGGGAGTCATCCCAAGGCGCTGGACAGTGTACAGCATTTCAGACCCGAGCTGGGGGTCAGGGAGGGAGAAGGGAGGGGAGGGGAAGGGGGTGGCCGATGGCATGGTTGAGGTGGGACCTGAAGGAGGCTGAGGAGGGGGTGAGGCGGAGTGATTGGGGAATGGAATTCCAGAGGTTGGGGGCAGAGTGGCTGAAGGCTCTCCCGCCAATGGTGGGGCGGGTGGGTCGGGAGACATGGAGCAGGCCAGAGCCGGCTGAGCGGAGGGAACGGGTGGGTAGGTAGGGGGTTAGGAGGTTGGATGAGGGCATGGAGGGCTTTGTATGTGAGGACCAGGATCTTGAACTCGATCCTCTGAAGGATAGGGAGCCAGTTCTGGGTTATCTGCAGTCTGTGGAGGGAGGAGTTGGGAAGGCCGACAAGCAGGGCGTTTGCATAGTCGAAAGCTAATATTTAAGAAAGCTAATAGACCTTGCCAGCTAATATCTAACAGTCACTTGACTGGGTGTATGGCCTTCTGCACAAACCCAGTCAAGTGACTATTAGACATTAGCTGACATCTTCCGAGCTCGCATTTGTTTTAATTTGTTTTTCAGGAATGTGATGGATTCCCCCCATGGCCAACTCAGCACCAACCCACCGTGACATTTAATATTCAGCCTCTCAGTGTCCCGCTGCCGATCGGGGTGGGAGCTGGGGGGGGAGGGGCGCGGGTGGGGGTCACTGGGGGTGGGACACGGTGGGTGGTGGGAAAATGCATCAACTTCTGGTCTGGAGTCCGTTGTTCAGCTCTGTATCAAAATGATTCTTTCTCAAAGCTTCAAAGATGTGATAAGGCTCTATCAAATGCAAGGAATATTATTATTATTATTTTATTATATCAGATGCAAGGATTATTATTACAGGGTAGTCATTAATAAAGTGAGGAAATTATATGATCTATAAAACCATCCATTTCTTGTTTCGTTCATCAACCACAACAACAAACTGCACTAACACATGCAGGGTTCTCGGGTAGGAAAGAATGTCTGCAAACTGGGATTAAATTCACTCCCTTTTTTTTTGTCCATCGGAATCCAAACTGGAATTCAATCCCTTCAGCCCCTCCCTCTCCTGAGGTAACACAACAGTTTGCCTTTAATGTGAGTTAATGTCTCGAATTGCTTTGCACTGACAGAATACAGTGACTCATCCATAACATCGAGGCTCGACTATGCAAACTCCCCGCTTGTCGGTCTCCCCAAATCCTCCCTCCATAGGCTGCAGATCATCCAGAACTCTGCAGATCATGTCCTCTCCCACACTGGGCTCCGTGACCCTATCACCCCCATCCTCGCCCGACTCCACTGGCTTCCCATCACACAGAGGATACAGTTCAAGATCCTGGTCCTCACCTTCAAAGTCCTCCATGGTCTTGCTCCCCCCTACCTCTGCGATCTCCTAACCCCCTGCCAAGCTGCCTGCGCCCTCTGCTCAGTGGGCTCCGGCCTGCTTCAGGTCCCCCACATCGCCCGCCCCACCATTGTCGGGCAGCCCTTCTGCCACTCTCCCATTCTCTGGAACTCCATCTCACAACAACAACAAAATTACATTTATAGAGCGCCTTTCACGTTGGGAGGACGTCCCAAAGCACTGAATAGTCAGGTGTCGGGGCCCGAGCATGGTGGTGGTGTAGGGATGAGGGAAGGCAGAGAGGTGGGAGGGAGACCAAAGGCACGGTCGAAAAGAAGGGTCTTGAGACCGGTCTTGAAGGAGGCGAGGGAGGAAACAAAGCAAAGGGACCGTGGGATGGGATGGAGTGTGGGGGCAGAGAAGCTGAAAGCCCGGCCACCGATGGTAAAGAGGATCGGGCGGGAGACATGGAGCAGCCGGAGCCCGCTGAATGGAGGGAGCGGGCAGGTTGGTAGGGAGTCAGCAGGTCAGAGAGGTAGGAGGGGGCAAGGCCATGGATGGCCTTAAGGTGAGGATGAGGATCTTGAACTCGATCCTCTGGGGGATGGGGAGCCAGTGGAGTCAGGCGAGGGTGGGAGTGATGGAGTCGGGCGAGGGTGGGAGTGATGGGGTCGGGCGAGGGTGGGAGTGATGGGGTCGGGCGAGGGTGGGAGTGATGGGGTCGTGCGAGGGTGGGAGTGATGGGGTCGGGCGAGGGTGGGAGTGATGGGGTCGGGCGAGGGTGGGAGTGATGGGGTCGGGCGAGGGTGGGAGTGATGGAGTCGGGCGAGGGTGGGAGTGATGGGGTCGGGCGAGGGTGGGAGTGATGGAGTTGGGCGAGGGTGGGAGCGATGGGGTCACGGAGTCTGGTGCGTGAGAGTACATGAGCTGCAGAGTTTTGGATGATCTGCAGTTTGTGAAGGGAAGAGTTGGGAAGGTCGATGAGGAGGGAGTTCCCGTAATCGAGCCTTGAGATGACGAATGTGGGTGAGGGTTTGGGGGCTGAGGGGTGAGGCAGTGGCGGAGTCTGGCAATGTTGCGGAGGTGGTGGTAGGCATTGCCGGTCATGGCGCGGATGTGGGGGAGAAAGGACAGTTCAGGGTCAAACAAGACCCCCAGGTTCCTGACTGGCTCAGTGAGGGTGAGTGGCAGCCGTGGAGGCTGATGCTGTCAGCGCCTGAGGTGCGGAGGCACTGGCGCGAGCCAATCAGGAGGGCCTCGGACTTGCTGACGTTGAGTTGGAGAAAGTTGTTCCTCGTCCAGGACTTGATGTTGGACGGGCAGTCGGTCAGGACGCCAGTAGTCCTGGAGTTCAGGGTGGAGGCAGAGAGATAGAGTTGGGTGTTATCCGCATACATGTGGAAATTTACCCCGTGTCTGTGGAGGATGTCACCAAGGGGGAGCGTGTAGAGGGTGAAGAGGAGGGGACCGAGGACAGAGCTCTGAGGAACACCACATGAGACAGTGCGGAGGCCGGAGGAGAAGCTGTTTGCCGTGACGAAGTGGAGGCGGTGTGAAAGATAGGACCTGAACCAGACAGGGACAGAACCTTGAAGGTTGAGGTGGGAGGAGAGGCAGTGGAGGAGGATTGAGTGGTCCATGGTGTCAAAGGTGGCAGAGAGGTCAAGGAGGACGAGGAGGAAGAGGGAGCCCTGGTCACACATGGTCAGAATGTCGTTTGTGACCTTGACCAGAACAGTTTCCATGCTGTGGGCAGCGCGGGAACCCAATTGGAGGGGTTCATGGAGGGAGTGAGAGGAGAGGAAAGAGTGAACCTGGGAGACAACAGATCTCTCAAGGACCTTGGATAGGAAGAGGAGATTTGAGATTGACCGGTAGCTACATAGCTGTGATGGGTCAAGTGAAGGTTTCTTCAAGGTGGGGATGATAATGGCTTCTTTTGAGGGGGTCGGAACAGTGCCAGATGGTTGATGATGTTGGCGAGTAGTGGGGCAAGGAGGTAGAGCTGAGATTTAAGGAGAGGGGTGGGATGGGGTCCAGGGAGCAGGTGGTGGGCTTCATTTATAGAGGGCCTTTCACATCGGGAGGACGTCCCAAAGGCGCTGTACAGTTGGGTCAGGACCCGAGCAGGGGGGAATGGTCAGGGTGAGGGGAGGGAAGGGAGGGAGCGACGAGGGGATAGAGAGTCGAGATGGGAGGTGAAGGCACGGTCGAAGAGAAAGGTCTTGAGACCGGCCTTGAAGGAGGAAAGGGAGGAGGCGGCGAAGGCACTGGGGGATGGAGTTCCAGAGCCTCGGGGCTGAGAGGCTGAAGGCCCGGCCACCGATGGTAGGGCGGTTGGGGCGGGGGATGTGGAGCAGACCTGAGCCAGAGGAATGGAGGGTACGGGCAGGTAGGTAGGGGGATAGTAGGTCGGAGAGGTAGGAGGGTGCAAGGCCGTGAATGGCCTTGTAGGTGAGGATGAGGATCTTGAATTCGATCCTCTGGGGGACGGGGAGCCAGTGGAGGCGAGCGAGTGTGGGAGTGATGTGGTCGCGGAGCCTGGTGCGGGACAGTACACAAGAACAGGAGCCTGGGGTTTTCCTTCGCCTCCAAGATTAACCTGGAATAGAAGGACGATTTGGCTGAGGCGAGAGCGGAACAGAACACACCTGGCCCTTAAGCGAGCGGAGGTGGCTGGTGAACAAGGGTGAGGATCAGGAATTGGAGACAGTTCAGGAGGCGAGGGGGGCAAAAGCATCGAGTGTGTTAGAGAGGGTGCTGTGGAGAAGAGTAAGTGCAGCGAGTGGGTTGGTGCGAGTGGTAGGCCAGAGGGGAAGGAGTTCAGAGGACTCCAGAGCAGTGGAGAGGGATTGCGGGGAGATCTTCTTCCATGGCTGGTAGAAGATGGTAGTAGGTTTGAAGGCAGTGGGGAGAGGAATATAGGAGTTGAGGGAGATAGTGGTCAGAGATGGCCTTGTCAGTGATGGTGACATCCGAGATGCTGAGGCCCCGAGTGATCACCTGGTCGAGCGGGCGACCGTGAATGTGGGTACCAGAGTGAATGTGGAGGGAGAGGTTGAGAGAGAGAGGAGAGAGGAGGTTTGAGGAGATGGAGCAGGAGGGGGTGAAGTGGAGGTTGAAGTCACCTAGGATGATGAGGCAGTCAGAATAGAAACAGAGGGAAGCTGGGAGGGTGGAGATGTCAGAGATGGCAGAAGATTTTGGGGGTCAGTAAAGTAAGAGAATTTTTAGAGAAAGGTGGGAGGGATGGCAGAAGGTAAGGTGTTCGAAAGAGGGGAACGAGCCGGTGGAGTAGAGGGATAGGGCAATTGACACCCTGGATATGAGGGCCACACCACCGCCACGATGCCTGGGGCATGGGGCATGGTGGTAGGTGTAGCTGGGTGGTGTGGCCTCAGTGAGGGCGAAGGTGTCACCTGGGGTGATCCAGGTTTCTGTGAGTGCCATGATGTCATTGAGGACGAGTTCATTGATGGCCAGGGTCTTGTTGGAGATGGAGCGGGCATTTTCAAGGCCAATACGGAGTGGACAGTTGGCAGGAGGATGTGTGGGATGGGAGGGGGTAGTGGATTGGTTGGCAGGTAGGGTGGAGATGCGGATGAGGGAGGAGAGGTTATCCCCCGGGGTCTGGGTCCGGGGTGGCTTGCGGCAGTAGTGGGGAATGGGGCAGTCGGTGTGGCTGCTACTGGACAGCCAACGCCGAGGGCCGCGATGAGCCCGCAAAGAATTCCCAGGCTGGAGCAGAGGGAGGGTGTGGGGGGGTCAAGCAGAGATAGGAGGCGGGGAGGGCGGAGAGAGAGCAGGACAGAGCGGGAGAGGGGGGCATTTTGAGGGAGGGCCAGCTCGCGTGGGGGCGGCAGCCAAGAGGCGCGCGCTGGGACGAGAGGCGGTGGGTTTGGTAGGACATTGTCAGCCTGCAGGAGGCTGTGGGGGCTAGAGATGGCGCAGAGGGGAGAGGGCGCTGATTGTGGTTAGCAGTGAGTAGCCTGCAGGGGAAAGACAGGGGAGACAGACAGACAGAGGGTGGAGGGGAGGGAAACACTGGTAGAAGCTGTTCTGTACCTGCTACCAGGGATTCAAACCTGGCGGGCGGAAGTGACGTCACGCAGAATGGCAGGAAAATCTGGAAGTCCCTCTCTGCCTCGCTCTCTCCCTTGTCTCCTTCAAGACCCATCTCAAGACCCTCCTCTTTGAGTGTGCTTTCGATCTCCCTCGTTTCCCCTCTGCCCTCCACCATCCCCGATCCCGACCCCCAGCTCGGGTCCGAAACACTGACTGCCCAGCACCTTGGGATGTCCTCCTGATGTGAAAGCCACTATACAAATGTAATTTTGTTGTTGTTGTTTTGTATTTTCACCAACAAAATATACAATCAATTCACTTTTCAGTGTATCCTGTGAAGCTCTTTGAGATGTCTCAATGCTGTGATAAGGCACTATATCAAATGCAACAATTATTATTATTACTTTTATTGCGCCCATAATGCCAGAACATCTCCGCACAACCACCACGACACAGACGACCACAGACGACCACCGGGCATAACTGATTACTAACACTGTCACAGGATCTTTAACATCCACCTCAATTTAATTTCTCAGCCTGAACTGTGAGCTGAAAGTCTCCTAATGGGACTTGAATCTGTAACCTTCTGAGCCAGAGGCTGAGAGTGCTACCAACCAAGCCACAGACTGACACTCCAAGGAAGGGTGATAAGGGAGAAGTTAGATTGTAAATCCACATTGGCTGAGTGGGACTCAGCGCAATACTCCCAGTGATAAGAAACGGGATAAATGTATCTTATTTTAAAGAGCTCAGCACGTGTGGAGAGTATCATGTACTTTAATGAAAGGTCAAGTAAATAAACTCACACTTTGTATTGTATCGTTATAGTGAATTCTGCGTTAACAAAAGCACAGGTTGGGTGAAGGCCAACAGCTGGAAATGTGGCCACACAGATCAGCCACTGATCTCAGCCCAGCTCCGTACTGAGTGGCTGCTTCCCACCCCAGCAATGTTTCAGGTTTCTTTGGTTATAATGCGATACAAAAGTACATTTATAAAGTGCCTTTCATGTCGGGAGGGCATCCCAAGGCGCTGAACAGTCAGGGATTGAACCCGAACGTGGTGGTGGGAGTGGGATTGGGTTCAGGGAGGGTGGTAGGCAGAGAGGGTAGGAGGGTGGCTGAAGGAACAGTCGAAGAGGAGGGTCTTGAGGTGTGCCTTGAAGGAGGCAAGGAAAGGGAGCGAGGCAAAGGAATGTGGGATGGAGTTCCTGAGGATTGGGGCTGAACGTCCGACCACTGACGGTAGGGCGGGCAGGGCGGGCTGGGTGTGGGACATGGTGCGGGCCGGAGCCTGCTGAGCGCAGGGACCGGACAGGATCTGGACTGGCTTGGAGAGGTGGAGTGTGTATACTGGTGCTTCCAGTGCCTGAGATGAGGAAGCACTGGCGTGACTCAATCAGGAGAGCCTCGGTTTTGCTGACGCTGAACTGTAGAAACTTGGCTCTTATCCAGGACTTAATGTCAGACAGACAGTCTGTCAGGACAGCAGTGGTCCTGGGGTTGAGGGTGGAGGTAGAGAAATAGAATTGGGTGTCATTTGCGTATATATGGAGGAGGTAGAGGACAGAGTGGTCCACAATGACAAAGGCAGCAGAGAAGATGAGGAGACAGAGGAAACCCTGTTCACAGATGGACAGAATGTCATTTATTACCTTGACCAGGGATGCTTCCGTCCTCCAGCTCATTCCCCTCGAAGAAGGAGAATGAGCCGGAGAAGGGGATAGAGCAAGTGAGCATTCAGAGATGAGGGTCACACCCCCGCCACAGCGGTTAGGATGTGGGGTATGGTGGAAGGAATAGCCGGGTTGTGTGGCCTCAATCAGGGGGAATGTGTTGCCTGGGATGATCCAGGTTTCAGTGAGAGCCAGGATATCAACGATGATGTCGTTGATGGCGAAAGCATCAAAAGTTAGAAAGGGAGCAGCCATTTTGTAGGCCAATCCGGAGGAGACAGTTGGCAGAGGAACGTATGAGACGGGAAGGGGTGATGGAATGATTGGCAGGGAAGGTGGGAATGTGGATGAGGGAGGAGATGTTAGCCCCAGGGGTCTGGCGGGGCTTGCGGTGATAGTGGGGAATAAAGCAGTCAACGTGGCTGCTGTTGGACAGCCAACCCTGAGTGACACGCTGAGCCTGACAGAGGATTCCCAGGCTGGAGCAGAGGGAGGCCGTGGCTCAGTCAAGTGGGGATAGGAGGCGAGGCGGACGGAGAGAGGGGAGGACAGAGCGAGAGAGTTCCAGGGAGGGTATGGTTGTCTGCAGAAAGGGGTAACTGAGCCCATCTACAGATCATAGACCTGGGGGCGAGGCAGTAAGTCATTTTTGCCCTTTTAGAAGGAAATTTGAGTAAATTGTAATCAATGTGGTAGTAACAGAGACTGAGAGGAGACCCCACACTGACACCATGTGGGGGATTCCCTGAGAACAGATACACTCCTCCTCGCGTCACATCCGGTGGGGAAGCCCCGCTGTGAGGGTCTGCGCATGCTCTGTGGGGAATGAGCAGAACTACAATTCCCAGCATGCGCCGAGTTTCACGCCGACTGGAACTACACCTCCCAGGAGGCATTGCGCACTGCGCAAGCGCAGGAAGGCAGAGCGGCTGCGTTGCGGGGAGGTGAGTGAGTGAGTGAGTGAGCAGCTACGGCTGTGTGTGAGGGCGGCCTTAGCAACCGGGAGGGCAGGAGGGAGGGGGTGTCCTTAGCAACCGGAGCGGGCAGGGTAGGAGCCTGGCACAAGGTGAGGGCAAAGGGAAGGGAAAGAGGCCAATCGGCCAACCTGGGTGACAGGAGCTGTGAGGTGAGAGGTCAGGAGTCACTGTGGTGATACAACGGTGGGGGAAGCCCCTCCGTCAATGCTGTTTGTTGTTGTTGTGGTTGTGGTTGTTGCCTCCACTCTCCATCCACACACCCCGCCCTGACCCGCCCTGACCTGACCCGCCCTGACCTGACCCGACCTGACCTCAGCAGGGAGCCTCCCAGCCTCGTGACTGACTTGTTTCAGAGCTCACGACAAAAGGGGTCAACACACTTGACATCCGTTTGAAATTTATAGTCGTTGAAAGAAATGTAATGATACTCGAGCTCCAGCGCCAGGCAGTCTGCCATCCGTGGCACGCTGACTAAATACTTATTCGCGGCAATGGGAAGTAAACGGACACCCAAATGATATGTTCAACATGGTCAGAGAAATCCAGGGCAAGGGCAGACCACTCATGGACAACAGAACCTTCAGACGTAAAAAGAAGTTTAAAAAAAATCACATTTTATGCCACTTTGTCGCTGGGACCTTCTCTTCCCAAGTACCATCACTCCCACAGCAAACCTCTCTTTAACACACAGATACTTGTTTTCTGTTGCAGGTCCTTGTGGATGGATTGAAGCGCCCTCAGCCCCGCCCACTCGTGTCTGAGTCACGTCTGAGGTAAGTTCTTGTTCACGAGAACAACAACAACTTGCATCTATATAACACCCTTCTCGCAGGTTAGTCTTGGAGCGGCTAAGCTCGTCTCAGCCATGGAGTCAAAGCGCTCACTATCGGAGCACAGACACCTCCTCACCCACGTCCACACCACGTTCAAACAACAGAGGGGAAGGAGGGAGTAGCAATCAGAGCAGGAACTCTTAGCTGATTGCTCCCCCACCCGCCAAAATGAGCTTTGAGGCTAATTGTAGGCCTACCCCTCCGGCTCAGGTCAGTATCAGAGCGGACGGGGGAGGGGCGGGGACTGTCTGCTCAGTGCGGCTCAGTGGTATTGTGTTAGTTCTGTGCAGTGGCTTCTCCAGCCCGACTGAGATGAGGATCACTGTTGATGCTGGGGCCCTGCCCCTAGGAGAGGGCATCTCCGAGGTGGAGGAACAACAACAAATAACACTTATATAGAGTCTTTCACATCGGGAAGACGTCCCAAGGCGTTATAATAATAATAATCCTTGCATTTGATATAGCGCTCTTCACGTCGGGAGGACGTCCCAAAGCGCTTCACAGAACACACTGTAAAGTGAATTGACTGTATATTTGTGGGCGAACGCGGCAGCCAATTGCGCACAGCAATGTCCCACAAACAGTCGTAGATTGAAAATGACCAATTTATTATTGTTTTTGGTTTTGTAGAGATTATTATTAGGCTCTGTGTGGAGTAAGGAAACTTGCCCAAGGTTTCGCCCTCTGCCTGGAATTGAACTCAGGTCTCTCACTTGCAAAGCGAGTGCTTAACAACTGAGCTACAGGACTCCACAATGCGTTGGCATCTTAATTGGCATCTTAATTAAGTTATAATAATAATAATCCTTGCATTTGATATAGCACTTTTCATGTCTTCGAGACGTCTCAAAGTGCTTCACAAAATATACTTTAAAGTGAATTGATTGTATATTTGTGGACGAAACGTGGCAGCCAATTGTGTACAGCAGTGTCCCACAAACAGTCGTGGATTGACTGACCAAATTATTATTGTTTTTAAGGATTATTATAATAGTAATCAATTATTATTATCCCCGGCAAAGCGATCCACCAATGGACTAACAACCGGGTTCCTACTTACTGCTGGGTAAACAGAGGCGTGTGGACTAAGGAAACGTGCACAACATTTCACCCTGCCGGGAATAGAACCCAGGTCTCTCGAGGCGAGTGCTCTAACTACTGAGCTGTAGGACTAAATACCTGGAATGTTAACAGTATCAGGTCTTTCAGTTGGATCCGAGAGGTACAGAGGCACTCACACTTTTGATTTTTATGCTTTGTACTGTGACGGGTCCATATAATACAACAACAACAACAACAAGATTCCATTTATAGAGCGCCTTTCACATCGGGAGGACGTCCCAAGGCACTGTACAGTTGGGTCAGGACCCGAGCAGTGGGGAAATGGTCAGGGTGAGGGGAGGGAAGGGAGGGGGCGAGGAAGGGGGAAATTGTCAGGGTGAGGGGAGGGAAGGGAGGGAGCGAGCAGGGGGGAAATGGTCAGGGTGAGGGGAGGGAAAGGAGGGAGCGAGGAGGGGGCAGAGAGTCGAGAGTGGAGCTGAAGGCACGGTCAAAGAGAAAGGTCTTGAGACCGGCCTTGAAGGAGGAAAGGGAGGAAGCGGCGAAGGCACTGGGGGATAGAGTTCCAGAGCCTCGGGGCTGAGAGGCTGAAAGCCCGGCCACCGATGGTAGGATAATGAAGGAAACAATGATATTAAACAATCTCTGAAACTCTGCCACATTACTTTTGTTTTCAAACCCACTGGCACCAAATCCCCATTCTGGCTAAATCAGATTTCTGTGTGGTCTGCATGTGCCCAGCGAGGATAAACAGACAACCTTTAAATCCCCCTATTCAATTTCCTCCATGCTTTTCTGTGGTGCTGTCCAAATAATCCATAATTTACAATTTAAAATACTATTTTTCCAAAGCCGAGCTCTGTTGAATTCTATACATACACACAGACTTCATTTTGTACATTTGGGAGCCTTGTCTCTTGGTTTCTGAGCAGCCTGGCTCCCTTCGGGGTATTTGGTGCTGGTTCAAGTGCGCATGTTATTGGTTGTGGAGTTCAGGATTCATGACTGACAGCTAGATTTGAAAGTTTATGTCTGTCTGTGACTGTCTATCACTGACTGTCACTGTCTCTGTCTCTCTGTCACTGTCTGTCATAGAATCAGAATTATACAGCACAGAAGGAGGCCATTCGGCTCATCGTGTCTATGCCGGCTCTTTGAAAAGAGCTTCCAAATCAACCCCACTCCTCATAGCCCTGCAAACTTGTTTGTCACTGTCTGTCACTGTATATCTGTCTGTCACTGTATATCTGTCTGTCACTGTCTGTCTGTCAGTCACTGTCTGTCTGTCTATTGTCTGTCTGTCTGTCGTCTGCCTGTCACTGTCTGTCTATCCATCACTTCTATGTTGACCAGACTGAAAGCCCAGTGTTCCTCCCGCTTGTATTAATGCAAGATTTAGCAGGAAAACTAACCTGGCTGCAGTTCTCAACATCTACCTCTTTTGTGGTTTACTGCACTTTCGGTCCCCTCTCCTTTTCCCGCTGCCCTCGATTCCCAAGCCCTGCAGAGCCAATACTGTTCAGCACATCGGAAATTTTCCTGGTGTGAAGGGTGCGATATAAATGTAAATTTGTATTGTTTAATCAGACATACGTGTACCTTCAGATCGATAATTGCTAATCCAAGTTCAGACAGGAGGTGGCGCTCTGGGTGTGTAATAATAATCCTTGCATTTGATAGAGAACCTGATCACGTCTTGGGAGACGTCTCAAAGCGCTTCACACAAAATACTGCAAAGTATTATTATATACTGTACTGTATATTATGGGGCCGAGACGCGGCAGCCAATTGTGCACAGCAGTGTCCTACAAACAGTTGTGGATTGAATAATTTTTTTTGGAGGGAGGGATTATTGTCCCAAGAAAGCGATCCACCAATCAACTGACAACCGGGTTCCTACTTACTGCTGGGTAAACAGAGGCGTATGGAGTAAGGAAACTTGCCTAAGGTTTTGCCCCGCCCGGGAATCAAACCCAGGTCCTCTGGCTTGCGAGGCGAATGCTCTAACCACTGAGCTACAGGCCTCCTATAACAGGACATGATCGCAGTCAGCACTTTCCCGTGTGAGACATGCCAAGCCGTACGCACTCAGCAGGCAGCTTCCCTCGCGTGGCTGGTGTATGAACTGGTCTCTCCCGGTACCTGACAAGCCCTCAGGTGAGAGTCGCCCGTGCCCATTGACATGCCCGGCAATAACAACCCCTCGGGAGATAAGGCTCACATCTCCCAGTCAGGCTGGGGTCTGGGGAGCGACAGATTGAATGAGCCAGAGTCAGGAGGAGTTCACGGGAAGGATTTACCAGATTATTGATTCGTCCAAATTGTTTCTCAATTACCATCACCCGGGCAGTTAGTGAGAATTAACTTGTTGCAGATCAGACTTTCCAGCCTTTTTAATTAGCCTTGAATGGCTTTCAGCCAGCTCTCTCTGTCTGTCTCTCACTCTCTCTCTCTCTCCAGTTATCTGCCTATATACACTGTCCTCGCTCCTCATATTCCACCGGTTCAGGGTATAGATCAGAGCAGGTTTGGCAAAATGACAACTTGAATAAATTTCATCCTTTTACCGGATCTCAGCTCCTCAAACACCTGCCGGAAAAAACACAATCACAACAGGTCAGCCTAACTCCCTCTCCCTCGCTCTCTCTTGTCTCTCTCTGTCTCCTCCGGGTCAAGTCAAGATTTCAAGTCCAGGCTGATGTTAGTATTGTTAGCGCAGTATTGGGGGGGGGGGTAGAGGAGGGCGGAGTGCTGCATTGTCAGAGACACAATCACACACACTGACCCCTTTTTTCAACACGTCTCAGGATTTTTAACATCCACCTGACTAGGGCACAGACAGGACCTCGGTTTAACATCTCATCCAAGATATTAAACCGTTTCAAAAGTGTAACAACATCAACAAAATGACATTGTTCAGCGCTTTTCCCATGGAGGCGATATCCCAAAGCGCTGGACAGTCAGTGTTTCGGAGAAGGGAGTTGCTGTCTGTGTGTGGTGGGGGGAGAGAGTCAGTGTGTGTTGGGCCGTCAGTGTGTGTGGGGGTGGGGGGGGTCAGTGTGTGGGGGGCGCAGTCAGTGTGTGGGGGGCGCGGTCAGTGTATGCGGGGGTTATGTGTGGGGGGTTAGGGTGTGTGTGAGAGGGGGTCAGTGTGTGTGTGGGGGGCTCAGTGTATATGGAGGCATGTGGGAGGTATGTGAGGATGTCAGTGTGTGTGGGGAGGTAGTGTGTGTGGGGTGTCAATGTATGTGGTGGGGTAGTGTGTGGGGGGTCAATGTTTATGGGGAATCAGTGTGTGTGTGTGAGGGGTCAATGTATGTGTGGGGGATAATGCATGTGGGAGGTCAGTGTGTGGTGGGGGGTCAATGCTCTGTATGGGGGGTGTCAGTGTATGTGTGTTGGGAGGGTGGGGGACACACATTGCTGTACCCGCTCTGGTGCTCAGCTCTGGATGGAGTGAGTGTGAGAGAGAGAAAGAGAGAGGATTGTGAGGTGTGATGTCAGGATGGCAGAGCACAGCCCAGTCAGTACCTCAGAGACAGTAATACACAGTAATCCTCTCCCCTCCTCTCCTCCCCGGCCATGTGTGAGCAAACCCCGCTCAGCTCCCTCCCCAGCTCGCGGTGTGCGACTCTCTCTGTCTCTATCCTCTCTTTTTTTCTCGTCGTGTGTCTGTGTCTCTTTTTGTTTTTTTCTCTCTGTTTCTTTCTGTCTCTGTGTGCGTGTGTGTCTCTCTCTCTCTGTGCCTCTCTGTGTTTCTGAGTATCTCTCTCTGTCCCTCTCGGTGTGTGTCTCTCTCTGTGTTCTGTGTCTTTCTCTGTGTGTGGGACGTCTTTCCAACGTGAAGGGCACTATACAAGTGTAATTTATTGGTGTGTGATTGTCTCTCTCTCTCTCTGTCTGGCTCTCTCTGTCCCTCTCTCTATCTCTGTCTGTCTGTCTGTCTGTCTGTGTGTCTCTCTGAGTCTCTCGCTCTCTGTCTGTCTCTCTTTCTGTCTCTGTGTGTGTCTCTCTCTCGCTCTCTGTCTGTCTCTCTCTGTCTCTCTCCCCGGGACCCCAGCGGCTGCAGTAAAACCCCGGCCACACCATGTCCATCTTGCCGCAGTCAGATGAAGCGGAGCCGGAGCACTTTGATGGTCTGTCATTGCTGTACTGGTAAGCGGCTCCCAGCCCCCCCCCACCCCCAGCCCCCTACAACCCCTAGCGTCCTACACCGCAGCCTGCCACAGACATCCCCCCCCCCCAGCCCCCCAGCTTGTCATTGACATCCCCCCCAGCCCCCCGCCCCACGTCCCCAAACTTGCCATTGACAGCCGCCCACCCCTAGCCACCCCCCCCACCACCCCCCAGGCCCCTGCACCGCAGTTTGTCACTTTCCAGGAGAAAAAAAGGAAAATGAAAAATAATAATAATAATTTGGGCATTGAATCCACGAGTGTTTGTGGGACACTTACTCACTGCCGGGCACAGTTGGCTGCCGAGTTTCTCCAGTCCAGCGAATATACAGTCAATTCACTTTACAGTATATTCTGTGAAACGCTTCAAGACTTAACAAGGGGCTGTATCAACTGCCAGGATTATTATTCTCTGCATTTGATACAGTGCCTTATCGCGCTATATCAAATGCAGAGACACTTGACAAACTCCTTGGTATATCCCGTCCTCTCTCCATTGGCATAATAATAATAATAAAACTTGCATTTGATATAGCGCCTTATAACATCTTTGAGACATCTCAAAGCGCTTTATAGAATATACTGTAAAGTGTGGTGACTGTATATTTTGGGGCAAATCCCCTTCCCCCGCAATTTAGGCAGACTCTGAGGGGTGGTCGCTCTCTCTCTCTCTGGGCATCTGGTGGTAGAGAGCTCCTGGGTGTGCAATAGCTGTGGCCTTTACTTTGCCGACGAGGAATGAGGAAGGGGATGAAAACATTTTTTGTATCAAACGATCGACCAGGTTCAGGAAAATTAAAGGGGTAGAGGGAGAGCCCGGGCACAATGGACACAGTTACTACACTTGATAGCATCTCCCTGTGAAATACACCAAGACAGTTCAGTGTTATAGACGCTGTGTCGAAGGCACGGATTATTATTAATATAATTGTAATCTATGGTGTCTATGGTTTGTGTGTGTCTGTGTGTGTGTGAGTGCATGTGTATGTAACAGTGTATATGTGTGTGTATATATGTGAGTACGTATGAATGAGTGTGTGTATGTGTGTAAGTGTGTATATGTGTGTGTGTGAGGCATGAGTATGTGTATATGTATATGTGAGAGTGTGTGTGAGCGTATGTGTATGTATGTATATATGTTTGAGTGGGTGTGTGCATGTTTGAGTGCGTGTATGTGTATATGTTTGAGTGCGTGAATGTGTGTGTGTGAACTTTTTCTAAACAGTAGTTAGTTTACAATTTCCCTGTGTAAAAGTCGTTACAGAGTCTTCTGCATGTTTTCTATAAGCTAACCACAAGGAAATTTGGGCTTGCATCTTGGTGTGTGTGGGCGGGGCTCTGGGCATGTGGGGGCGGGGCTCTGGGCATGTGGGGGCAGGGCTCTGGGCATGTGGGGGCGGGCTCTGGGCATGTGGGGGCAGGGCTCTGGGCATGTGGGGGCGGAGCTCTGGGCATGTGGGGGCAGGGCTCTGGGCATGTGGGGGCAGGGCTCTGGGCATGTGGGGGCGGAGCTCTGGGCATGTGGGGGCAGGGCTCTGGGCATGTGGGGGCAGGGCTCTGGGCATGTGGGGGCAGGAGCTCTGGGCATGTGGGGGCAGGGCTCTGGGCATGTGGGGGCAGGGCTCTGGGCATGTGGGGGCAGGGCTCTGGGCATGTGGGGGCAGGGCTCTGGGCATGTGGGGGCAGGGCTCTGGGCATGTGGGGGCAGAGCTCTGGGCATGTGGGGGCAGGGCTCTGGGCATGTGGGGGCGGAGCTCTGGGCATGTGGGGGCAGGGCTCTGGGCATGTGGGGGCAGAGCTCTGGGCATGTGGGGGCGGGGCTCTGGCATGTGGGGGCGGAGCTCTGAGCATGTGGGGGTGGGGCTCTGGGAATGTGGGGGCGGGGCACTGGGCATGTGGGGGCGGGGCTCTGGGCATGTGGGGGTGGGGCTCTGGTTGTGTGCGGGGCGGGGCTCTGGTTGTGTGGGGGTGGGGCTCTGGTTGTGTGGGGGTGGGGCACTGGGCGTGTGGGGGCGGGGCTCTGGGCATGTGGGGGGGGGCTCTGGGCATGTGGGGGGGGGCTCTGGGCATGTGGGGGCGGGGCTCTGGGCATGTGGGGGGGGGCTCTGGGCATGTGGGGGCGAGGCTCTGGGCATGTGGGGGCGGGGCTCTGTTTTTGTGGGGGCAGGGCTCTGGTTGTGTGGGGGTGGGGCTCTGGTTGTGGGGGGGTGGGGCTCTGGTTGTGTGGGGGTGGGGCTCTGGTTGTGTGGGGATCTGGGTATCTGGGGGTGAGGTCTGAGTTTGGCGGCTCTGGGCGTGTAGGGTCAGGGCTGTGGGGGTGTCAGAGTTTGAAGCCCCCCCCCCACATGTGGTTAACGGGCTGGACTGGGGGAGGATGAGGAAGGAGGGGAGAATGAAGATGGAGGGTGAGGACGGAGGGGAGTGTGAGGAAGGCCTCACTGTGTAACTCACTCGCTGTGTTTCAGGACCATCATGGGCCCCTATGGCATCAACCGGGCGGTGCAGCGGGTGGATTTCTCCGACTGTGAGAACGGCCTGGGTAAGTTGGGCCTTGGCCATCGTGTTAGCCGAGTCAAACAGTCACTACACTAATAAATTACACTTGTAGAGCGCCCTTCACATCGGAAAGATGACCCACACACAGAAAGACACAGAATATTATACACTTAATTATATAAGGCGCTAAATCAAATGCAAGGATTATTATGATTAGTATTATTATGAAGAAGAGCATCATAACAGGATTGCACTAGAATAATGTGGATATTATTGTGTTTTACTGTTTTCCAATGATTAAATCCCCTGATTCAAATGCTACCTTTTGTTGAACTTGAATTTACAGACTGTCAGTTGTCTGTCAGCTTACAGTGGGAGCGTATAAACCATTGCTGACTGTTTCTCCTCACTGGGCGCAGTGCGGACCACACAGCAATCTGATCAGACAGAATAGGGATTTGAAAACAAAAGTGATGTGGCAGAGTTTCAGAGATTGTTTAACATCAATGTTTCCAATTATCCTTTACTATATGAACCCGTCACGGTACAAAGCATTAAAATCCAAAGTGTGAGTGCCTCTGTACCTCTCGGATCCAACTGAAAGACCTGATACTGTTAACATTCCAGATACTTAGTCCTGTAGCTCAGTGGTTAGAGCACTTGCCTCGCAAGCGAGAGACACGGGTTTGATTCCCGGGCAGGGTGAAATGTTGGCCAAGTTTCCTTACTCCGCCCGCGGCTCTGTTTACCTCGCAGTAAGTAGGAACCTGGTTGTTAGTCGATTGGCAGATTGCTTTTCCAGGGATGATAATCCTTCAAAAAAATAATAATTTGGTCACTCAATCCACGCCTCCACGCCTGTTTGTGGGACGCTGCTGTGCTCAATTAGCTGCTGCGTTTCGTCCACAAAATATTCAATCAATTCATTTTACAGTATATTCTGTGAAGTGCTTTGAGATGTCTCGAAGATGTGATAAAGCACTTATCAAATGCAAGGATTATTATTACTATTATTATTATTATTACACTTAACTGTATTGACGTGAGACATTTTGAAACATCAATAAACATGCAAACTATTCCACTGCTTTTTCAGTCACCTTCCCCCCCCGACATCCGGCCAGCTCTCACACGTGCTCCTGATGATATCAATGTAAATTGTTGTTGTTGTTGTGGTGGTGGTGGTCACAGAGCGGAGAGTGAACCCGGAATAACCCAAACACGGGGATAAATCCCAGCGGGTCTATATTGACTCCAGTAGACTCTTAAATCAACGGTTGAATTCAGGATTCTGCCAAATCCCAGGATGTTCTCCTCCGTCTGCTCTCGGAAATTCCACGTGTACTGGGAATTCTGGACACGGCACCGATTGCTATGGCAATAGCTTCCCACTCGCCACTCCCACTGTTTTTTTTCACCTGGGAAAGAATTCCCGTGAGGAATTGCCGTCAGAGTATTGCTGTTCCCTGCAGCTCGAGTCGTCTCAAAAGGCTCGCAAGCCAGAGGACCCGGGTTTGATTCCCGGGTGGATCAGGGCAAAACCTTAGGCACATTTCCTCCACACATGAGCCTCTGTTTATCTAGCAGTGAGTAGAAACCCGGGTGTTAATCGATTGGTAGATCACTTTTCCAAGGGTAATAATCTCTTAAAAAGCAGTAATAATAATAACTTGGTCACTCAATCCAAGACTGTGTTTTGAACCACCGCTGTACGCAATTGGCTGCCACGTTTCATGCGCAATATATACAGTCACTACAATTTGCAGTATATTCTGTGTAGCTCTTTGAGACGTCTCGAAGACGTAATAAGACGCTGTATTTCTGGAATGCATTGTCTGAAAGGGTGTTGGAAGCTGATTGGATAACATCTTTTAAGCGAGAAGTAGATAATTATTTGGGGAGGACAAGTTTGCAGGGCTATGGGGAGAGAGCGGGGGAGTGGGGTTGATCAGGGCTATGGGGAGAGAGCGGGGGAGTGGGGTTGATCAGGGCTATGGGGAGAGAGCGGGGGAGTGGGGTTGATCAGGGCTATGGGGAGAGAGCGGGGGAGTGGGGTTGATCAGGGCTATGGGGCGAGAGCGGGGGAGTGGGGTTGATCAGGGCTATGGGGAGAGTGCGGGGGAGTGGGGTTGATCAGGGCTATGGGGAGAGAGTGGGGGAGTGGGGTTGATCAGGGCTATGGGGAGAGAGCGGGGGAGTGGGGTTGATCAGGGCTATGGGGAGAGAGCGGGGGAGTGGGGTTGATCAGGGCTATGGGGCGAGAGCGGGGGAGTGGGGTTGATCAGGGCTATGGGGGAGAGTGGGGGAGTGGGGTTGATCAGGGCTATGGGGAGAGTGCGGGGGAGTGGGGTTGATCAGGGCTATGGGGAGAGAGTGGGGGAGTGGGGTTGATCAGGGCTATGGGGAGAGAGCGGGGGAGTGGGGTTGATTTGGAAGCTCTTTTGAAAGAGCAGCACAGACACGATTGGCCGAATGGCCTCCTTCTGTTCTGTATCATTTATGATTCTATGATATCAAATGCAAGAATTATTATTATTATTATTCCCGCACCCACTCTCCTCAGTGGTTGATGATGCCATCTCTCTGTGCCCAAGGTATCAGTGTGATCGGTGGTTACCGGGAGCAGACAGAGGAGGAATGTGGCATTTACGTCAAGAGGATATTACCGGGTGGGATCGCGGCGCAGGACGGTGAGTTTTGGTGAGGAAGGAGATGGTTCAGTCCACCATGTGCCGTGTCTTGGCTGGATCAGTTCCTCACCTCTGGCTCAGAACACTTTGGGTTCAATTCAGACGTCCCCCACACCCCCAAGTCAGGTACTTTGAAGTGAACTTGCACACTTCAGGTTGATGCTCCAGAGCAGTGCTGGGGGATGTGCTCCATTGTGGGAGGTGCTGCCCATTGGACGAGATGTCAGACCTTGTCCAGCTGTTCCTGTGGACATTAAAGTCCTCCCATGGTGCTTGCTGATCACCTGCTGGTCAATGTCAGAGGGGCACAACAACCCTCCTCCTCCTCCCTTCCCCCAGCGATATTTCTAAACTGTGGAAGGGGGGGTGTGAGCGTAAAGGAGGGGGAATGCGTGTGCGTGTGGTTGGGGAGCTGGGGGAGGGTGGTGGGGACAGTGTGAGTGGCAGTGGGGGGAGCCTGACCGCCGGTAGTTAGTAACCTCTGGCTTCTCTCTCAGGCCGTCTGCAGGCGGGGGATCTAATCCTGGAGGTGAATGGAGAGGATCTGGAAGAAGCCACAAATGAACGGTAACGTCTCCTCCGGCAAAACTCCCCTCCCCCGCCCCCCCCCCACTCACAATCCTTTTTTTGAAGGGATTATTACCACCGGAAAGCAATCCGACTAACAACTGGGTTCCTACTCACTGCCTATAGCAGAGGCGTGTGAAATAAAACTTGCCTAAGGTTTTGCTTTGCCCGGGAATCGAACCCAGGTCTCTCGCTTGCGAGGTGAGCGCTCTAACCACTGAGCTACAGGGCTGCACTTGTTCGAATATAGATTGGTGTTTGGTCAGCGGGTTTGGAGGAGGAGCTGCGTGTGGGGCCTCCCCGGAGGTTACCGTTGTCTCAATGTGCTGTAACATGAGTCTCTGTCTGAACCTCTTCCAGGGCCGTCGAGATCCTGCGCATGGCCTCGGCCTCCAATCACATGTCCCTGATGATCGCACGAGATGATGAATCCAGGTAAGGAGCACCTCCCGCTGCGGGGGGAACGGGATGTGGGAATGCCGCTCGCAAACCTGCTCAGACTGCGGCTCAGTGAGCGTCCGGCGCATTGGGACCGGGGTGTAGGGAGCCCAGGAGCCCGGCCTAGAGTTTCAGGCTGTGTGAAGCCGGGGCCTAGTATTTTGGGAGTTTTGGAGCCTGTGGCTCGGAGCTGAAGGATATGAGCGAGTGTGTTTGATCAGCTGAATGATGTCTGTGCTAATTGTGCCTTTACAAATAAAGCTGATTAGTGTATTAAAGCTTTGGGGTTTTTCCCTCCTTATTCTGCCCCTTTTTAAGCTATGACTTAGTAATACGATATAAACTCCTCCTCACCCGACAGCAGCTTCTCCTTATCTGGAATTATTATTATTATTATTTATTTATTATTATTATAAACAGCAGATTTACATCTGACCAAAGCTGTGTGGAAGGCTACACAGCACAGTGTCAGTGACGTCCTGTAGTGTAGTGGTTACAGCACTCGCCTCATAAGCGAGAGGACCTGGGTTTGATTTCTGGTAAAGTGAAACCTTAGGAAAATTTCCTTACTCCACACGCCTCTGTTTACCAGCAGTAAGTTACTAGATTGCCGATCGCTTTTCGGGGGTAATAATCCCTTCAAAAAATAATAAAATTTGGTCACTTCAACGAATGTCTGTGGGGACGTCGCTCTGCGTAATTGGCTGCCGCGTTTCACTCACAAAACACACAGTCACTCTGCTTTACACTATATTCGGTGAAGCACTTTGAGACGTTCCCACGGAATGATAAGGCACTGTATCAAATGCAAGGATGATTATATTGAGTGTCTCCCAACCCCCAGCGCTGGCAGGGATTGGGGCTGTTCGGGGTGGCGAGGTATGGAGGTGTTTGGTGACAAATCCACTCATAAACGACTTCATTTCCACTGAGCAACTTTACACCGGCCGAGATTACAGTGGATCAGGATTTCTATGAACTTGAGATAAAAATAGTTGTTTTTGTAAATCTCTCTCTCTCTCCCCCTCATGTTCTCTCTTTCTTTCTTGCTCGCGCTCTCATGCTCTCTCTTGCTCACTCACTCTCTCTCTCTTGCACTCTCTGACTCTTGCACACTCTCTCTCACTCTCTCAAATTTTCTGTCTCACACTCTCACACTCTGTTTCTCACACTCACTCACTCTCTCACACTCTTTCTCACATTCTCTCACTCTCTCGCACACTCTTTCTCACACTCACTGTCGCTCACTCACACCATCACTCAGTGTCTGGACCTCGGCGGCCGAGTTGAATTGTCAGTATTTTCCCGCAGTGTTGGGGCTATTCGGGACCGCTCCCCATGTCTGGAGTGAGAGGGGGAGCAATGGGAAAGGCTGTCGGGGGGAGGGGGGAAATCAGTCATGAAGCCACCATTAATGGACCCCCAGTTACAAACATCAGCAAGTAGCCCTCTCCCCCCCCCCCCCCGCATCGAGTCACATGATATGAAGCAGTTTCGTACCAGACACAATCTGAGGTGATGGGATTAAGAGATGCTTTCAGGACAAGCGTTCATCACACACTGCCCTGGGACTTGTCTCTGCTTATCCCCACCTCCGATGCCCCCGCTGCTCCTCCCCACACACGCCCCCCCCCCCACCCCCGACTGTTCTCCAAACATTCACATATTATCATCCACCCCGACCCTTATCATCTCTCCCCATATAATTAAACTGTCCCCCACGCCTCACATTAATGTGGAGAGTTCAATCCACCTCCCACTCGAGTATGGGAGAGTTCCCTCACACACTCACCAGCACACACATCAATACACATGCACACACACACGGATACCAACACACACATCACGCACACACAGCACACACACCAACACACACATCAATACACATGCACACACACATACCAACACACACATCAATACAAATGCACACAAACACACACACACACACACCAACACACACATCAATACGGACACACACACCATCACACATTATCAATACACACCTGACACACGCACACAAACATATACACGCACACACACACATACCACACACACATCAATACACACACAAGCACACCCGTATGCACACACCAGCACACACATCAGTACACATCCTGACACAAGCACACACACACACACACACAGGACCCAGGGCACCATCACGCACAGCCTGAGCTGGGAGGCACAGCGCCTCAGGGAGTATAGTTTTGGTGTCTCAGCACACGGTGATTGAGGCTTTATCAGCATGAGATTCCGAAAGGGTTTAAAGCTCCACGTGAGGTAGAGAGTAATGGGGACAATGTGTGTGACCTCATTACCTGTGGCTAATCCGCTCTACACTGACCGACCCACTCTCGTTAACCCAGGTATCTGCACAGCCCGGGCCGGCCAGCGCTCTCGGCTCCCTGCCTGATTCCTCAAGAATATTTTCGGCATGGTCACTCAGATGTGGCCTCAGTCACGGAGTGGGTGGGGGTAGAAGTGAGAATTCCCTGTGGATAATAAGGTCCCCCATCCCCTCCCATCTTATTGGGGTTTCCACAGGCTTCCTGTAAGGTGCTTTGAGACATTCTTCTATGTAAAAAAACACTGAGTCCACATAGCAAGTCATTGAGACATCTCAAGTGCTTCACAGGATCATACTGTAAATTGGATAGACTGTCAATCCACGTTTGTGAAACACTGCTGTGCAATTGGCTGCCGTGTGTCACCCATAAATAAACAGTCACTCCACTTTACAGTATATTCTGTGAAGCGCTTTGAGACGTCTCAAAGACATGATAAGGCGCTGTGTCTAATGTAAGGATTATTATTATTATTGGGAGTCAGTGCGGTCAGAGTGGGCGGGAAGGCATTCCGTTGACATGGTGCTCTTCCTAGAACGTGTCTCCTGTTTATAGCTGAGACAGACTCTTGAGGACACGACCTGACTTGTTCGCTCGCTCGATCACTGGCTTGCTTGCTGATGCACGGTTGCCTCACTACTGTGCGGTGTGAGCGAAGGATACCGACAGCCCACTGTAAGCACATTGTTAAGCGGCTGCAGGTCTGTGTGATTGTGTAAGACGCAGTAATCCCTGTGTTGTGTGCGGTTACTGCTGTCCTGCCCTACATTCAGGAGGGATTATTTCCCTGCTCGCCACAGGATTAAAAAGTAAAATGAAAATACAAACTGGGAAATTAATTTAATGGCTTTTACCCTCTTATGGAATAACTCCGCAAATCTCTGCCCAGAGCAGAATTATTAACCCTTTCCCCGCCCGCTCTCAGCGAGAGAGTGACGCTCAGTAACACAGGCTGTTTGCTTAAATGAAATTTGTTGTTTAATTCCAGCTTTTTTTATAATGTTTTTTTAATGCTTTTTTTTAATGATTTTTTTTTGCTGCAATGTTTATTTAGGTCAGACTAGTTTTAAAATTGGTGGGGTGTGGGGGGGTGCTCAGGGTGCAGGGCAGAGAGATTTAGGTCAAAGTTCAGAGAGCGGGGGCTTAGAGTCACAAAGGACAATTTCAGGACAGACACCAGGAAGTTTATGTTTAACCAGAGCAGAATTAACAAGTGGAACGGGGAAAGGTGGTTGAGGCCAAGATACTGGGACTCATAGGAATAGAAATGTTAAACGAAAAGAAGTCCGGGGTCCATCTAATTCGCCTTCCATCATCCTACCCGTCGCATGCACATATTCCCGAACTACCTATGTACTGTATCCCATAGTGTTATTTCTTAAAAGAAAATGATCTAATCTGTGTTTGAAAGAATCAACATTTCCTGCTTCAATCATCTCCTTAGGGAGCCTGTTCCACAGGTTTGTTTTTCACTCACTGAAGTAGTGTTTGCGAAGATTTGTTCTGAATTTACCCCTTCAATCACAGCCCATGTCCTCTGGTTTTACTATTCTGGACAAGTTGAAACAGACTGACCCTCCCTCCATACTAAACAGCGAGATGCTGTGATGGAGGGATGGTAAGAGTGGGGTGTTCTGGAGATGATGAGTCAGATTAGCCAAAGGGTCTTCTTCGCCTGAGTCAATCTTGTGAAAATAGCTGATGGCTCAGGGGGGGAAGGGAGCGGAGGGGATTGGAGTGTGAGCAGATTCACTGTTCGCTGTTCTCTCCTCTCCCGCAGGAGGCTGTTTGAGGAGCTGATGGAGAACTACGGATCCCAGAGTAACACCGGATCATCTCAGAGCTCCCCCACTCCCCAGGCTGGTGAGGCCTTGAAACACCTCCTAACCCATCACCCCCTCTGTACATCTCGCTCTCTCCCTCTCTCTGCACACTGCGGGGGGAGGGAGCAGGGGGGAGAGTGGGGGAGCGGGGTGGAGAGAGCAGGATGGAGAGAGAGTGGGGGAGAAAGAGCAAGACGGAGAGAGCAGGGGGAAGGAGGGGAGGTGAGGGAGTGGGGGGGAGGGAGTGGCTAGGGAGGGAATCGGGGGGGAGGGGAAGGAGCGGAGGGAGGGAGCAGGGGGAGGGAGCGGTGGGAGGGAGCGGGGGGAAGGGAGCTTGGTGTGGGGAGGGAGTGGGAGGGAGGGAGCAGGGGGATAGTACCAGGGGGAGAGCATGGACGGGGGAGAGCAGGGGGCAGGGAGTGGGGAGAGAATATGTGGGGTGGGGGGGGGGGGGTGTGAGATGGGGAGAATATGTGGGGTGGGGGGGGGTGTGAGATGGGCTGAATGGCCTCTTTAGGTGAGTCTCTCCCCAAACGAGCTGTTTCTGTTTTCAGGTAAACAACACGCGGAGAGTAGCTCCTCCTCCTCCAGCTCCCCCAGCCCCCAGCTGCTGAGCCCAAAGGACATCATCACCAACAGCAACGTGGCCTGCTCCCCCACCACCCCCTCGCTCCCCCTCTCCATCAGGTAAGTATCTGACCCGCGGAGTGTGGGGTCCTGCTCCCCCAGACCTCAGAGGCTGCTCAGAGACAGTCACACTCTCTACGCTATAAAATCTGTGGGTTCCAGCCCTAAATCGGGGGCTTTGAGCTCTCGGTCAAGGGTGGTGCTCCAGGGGGAGCTGCAGGGGGGAAACCACACGCCCCCCCACCCCTTCCCCTCTCCCCAATTTTCTCTGTTGTTCAGTGACTCGGCTGTTGAGCTGATCTCCAAGGAGACGAGTTGGGCGTCTCGTTGTGAGGAGTTCCCATTGGTGTCCATTACAGCGGACGTTTAAGATCCCGCGAAGAGGTCAGAAAAGAGCAGCGGGTTCCTTATAAACACACAGTCACTACAGTGTACAGTTATAGTGTATCCTGTGAATCACTTTGAGACGTCTTTCCGACAAAAGACACTGTATCAAATGTCAGGATTATTAATATATTATTATTGTATGATCTAAGTTCTCTCCTCCCTCTCCTCCCCCCGTCCTCTTCCCCCTCCTTCCCCCGTCCTCCTCCCCCTCCTCCCCCGTCCTCCTCCCCCTCCTTCCCTGTCCTCCTCCCCTCCTTCCCCGTCCTCCTCCCCCTCCTTCCCCCGTCCTCCTCCCCCTCCTCCCCGTCCACCCCCCTACTCTCCCCTCCCCTCCTCCCCACTCTCCTCCCCCCTGTCCCCCCCTCGCCTCCCTCCGTCCCCCCCCCTCGCCTCCCCCCTCCCCTCCCCCAATTTTCTCTGTTGTTCAGTGACTCGGCTGTTGAGCTGATCTCTGTTGCCAAGGAGACAAGTCTGGGCTTGAACATTGTGGGGGGAACGAACCGTGCGGAGGGGCCGATGGTTTACGTACAGGAGGTCATCCCCGGCAGAGACTGTCACAAGGTCAGTCAGTGGGTCCTCGGGGTGGGGGGGGGCGGGAGAGAGGTCACGGGAGTCAACACAACCAGAGCACTTGCACATAATCTGTCATCTCTTCTCTCCTCCCTGGGGGCGGGGCTGATTGCTGGGGGCGGGGCTGATTGCTGGGGGCGGGGCTGATTGCTGGGGGCGGGGCTGATTGCTGGGGGTGGGGCTGATTGCTGGGGGCGGGGCTGATTGCTGGGGGCGGGGCTGATTGCTGGGGCGGGGCTGATTGCTGGGGCGTGGCTGATTGCTGGGGGCGGGGCTGATTGCTAGGGCGGGGCTGATTGCTGGGGCGGGGCTGATTGCTGGGGGTGGGGCTGATTGCTGGGGGCGGGGCTGATTGATTGCTGGGGCGGGGCTGATTGATTGCTGGGGGAGGGGCTGATTGCTTGCTGGGGGAGGGGCTGATTGCTTGCTGGGGGGGGGCTGATTGCTTGCTGGGGGCGGGGCTGATTGATTGCTGGGGCGGGGCTGATTGCTTGCTGGGGGAAGGGCTGATTGATTGCTGGGGGGGGGCTGATTGCTGGGGGGAGGGGCTGATTGTTGCTGGGGGAGGGGCTGATTGCTTGCTGGGGAGGGGCTGATTGCTGGGGGCGGGGCTGATTGCTGCTGGGGGGGGCTGATTGCTGGGGGGGGGCTGATTGCTGGGGGGGGCTGATTGCTTGCTGGGGGGGCTGATTGCTGGGGTGGGGCTGATTGCTGGGGCGGGGCTGATTGCTGGGGGAAGGGCTGATTGCTGGGGGGGGGCTGATTGCTGGGGGAGGGCTGATTGATTGCTGGGGGAGGGGCTGATTGCTGTCTCTCTGCTGTGCTCAGGACGGGCGGCTGAGGCCTGGGGACCAGTTGGTGTCAATCAACAAGGAATCTCTGGTCGGTGTCACCCTGGAGGAGGCCAAAAGCATCCTGACCCGCCTCAAACTCAGGTGCTGCTCCCCCTATCCCTCTCTCCCATCCCCCTTCTCCCCCTCCCCTCTCCCCCTTATCACCCTCCCGCTCACTCCAAACCCCTCCCACCCTCACTCCAAACCCCTCCCACCAAACTCCTCCCCCTCCCATCCTACTCACTCCAATCCCACCCCTCCCCCTTCCTCTGCTTCCTCTCCCCCTTCCTCTGCCCCCCATCCCCCCAACCTCTACCCCCCCACCCCCTCCCCCCGACCCCGCTTCCCGCATACACCCTACTGTGTATCTGGTCAAATCTGGCCTAACGGTCCACCGACAAATCTGGCTGGACCTCCTCAAAATCTACCACTCCACTCTAGCCTCGGCCAAGTCGTCCTTCTACTCCAGGATAATCCCTTGACCCCATCCCCACTCCACTCCTTATCTCCCAGCTCCACCTCCTTGCCCCACATATCACAGACATCGTCAACCTGTCCCTCTCCTCTGGCTCTATTCCCACTCCCTTAAAAACTGCCACCATCACTCCCACCTTAAAAAAACCCTCCCTTAATGCGTCACAGCTATCAATCTCCGGCCCATCTCCAACCTCCCCTTCCTGTCCAAGGTCCTGGAACGAGTTGTGGCCTCCCAGCTGCGCTCTTTCCTCTCCACCCATTCACTATTCGAACCCCTTCAATCGGGTTTCCGTGCTGCCCATAGCACAGTAACCGCCCTGGTCAATGACATCTTGACCATCTGTGACCAGGGCTCCCTCTGCCTCCTCGTCCTCCTCGACCTATCGGCAGCATTCGATACGGTCGACCACGTTATCCTCCTCCACCGCTTGTACTCCCACCTCAACCTTCAAGGCCCTGTCCTTGAGTGGTTTAGGTCGTACCTCTCCCACCGTCTTCACTTTGTCTCCACAATGTTTTTTCCTCCGGCCCCCGCACTGTCTCGTGCGGTGTCCCTCAGGGCTCTGTCCTCGGTCCCCTCCTCTTCACCCTCTATATGCTCCCCCTGTGGTGACATCATCCGCAGACATGGGGTTAACTTCCACATGTATGCGGATGACACCCAACTCTACCTTTCCTCCTCTACCCTCAACTCCACGACCCCCGATGTCCTGACAGCTGTCTGTCCGACATCGAGTCCTGGACGAGAGATAACTTTCTCCAGCTCAACGTGCGCAAAACTGAGGCCCTCCTGATTGGCTCACGTCAGCGCCTCCGCACCTCAGGCGCTGACACCATCAGCATCCAAGGCTGCACTCTCCACCTCTCAAAGCCATCAGGAACCTCGGGGTTCTGTTCGACCCTGAGCTGTCCTTTCTCCCTCATATCCGCACCACAACTGGCACCGCCTTCCATCACCTCCGGAATGTCGCCAGACTACGGCACTACCTCACCCCTCACGCGGCTGAAACTCTGGTCCACACCTTTATCACCTCAAGGCTGGACTATGGGAACTCTCTCCTCGCCGGCCTTCCCGGCCCTCCTTCCACACTGCAGGTCATTCAGAACTCTGCAGCTCGTGTACTGTCCCGCACCAGGCTTCGGGACCACATCACACCCACCCTCACTCGCCTCCACTGGCTCCCCATCCCCCAGAGGATTGACTTCAAGATCCTCATCCTCACCTACAAGGCCATTCCCCCACCCAGGCTGAGGCTGATGATCCCTGTCTGTTTGTTCAGGTCGGAGCCCAGTCTGGAGATCGGCTTCATCCGGGGGAAGCGCCCGCCGAGCCCCTCCTCGCTCACACCGCCCTCACCAACCAGCAGTGACATCATCCCGAAAAGCCCCGTTCACCACCCCAAGTCATCACCCCTTCCACAGCCCCCCAGCGACTCAGCCATCTCAGCCAGAGCCAGCCAGGTAAGAGAGTCACAGACAGAGAGAAAGAGAGGTGGGGCGAGAGAGAGAAAGAGTCGGGGAGAGAGCGATAGGGGACAAAGAGATAGAGAGAGAGAGTCAAAGTCAGTGTCACAGAGAGAGTGTGTATAGGCAAAGGGCAAATATTAATTTAGTTATGTTTTTGATAATGTTAAACTAAGCCCAGATACTGAGTAGGGATCACTTGGACTGAGCCGGGTCGAGGTGGGGGGTACGGGGAGGTGGGAGGGGGCACAAGGAACGGGATAGGAATCATGTCGAGCGTCACACTGTGTCTGTTTCAGGTTACAGCGACAAGTAAGAGGTCCGCGATCATGTCACAGCTTGGCAACACCAGCGAGACCACAGGTAACACAGGGTCAGCCCATGTTCCTCCTCCAACACTTCGCGGATGTATATTAACAAAAACAACAACAACAAATTACACATGTAAAGCAAATTTCACATCACAGGCGATTGGGGGGAGGTAGAGTTTCCACTTCAGCCGGGAATCCATTCCCATTCTGTCCAGGATTCGATTTCCCCTTCTGTTTGTCAGGAAACCTTGGGAAACAATCCTCATTGCGGAGGTATAGGGGAGGGCGGAGCTAAGTGAGGTCTCCTTGGAGCTGAAGTGGCTCCAAGGTGACATGTTCGGCTGGCAACAAAATCGAGCCAGCCCTCTCTTCCTGATATATTCCGGGGCACTCACTGCTGATGGCAGCCTGGCCCGGCCCATCGACAGGACCTGGGGGCAGAGAATCCTCCCCCTCAGCTCTTGTTAACCCTGCAGCCAAAGCCCCAACTGACGGATAGGGTGGTCCTAGATGGATAAGTAAGGGGAAAAATTGGCAGACAGTTGCTATCAATGGGTTTAGCTGGTTAGACTTCAGCGCCCACTCTGGGCTCCCCCCAAGCCTTGGCTCTTGCCAACCTGCGCCTAATACTCTCTGGAATTAGGTAATAATAATAATAAGCAGGATGCTTCCCTCCAGGGAGAGAGTGCATTCCATTCCAACAGTTATCTCTGGGATTTCCATGTGTCGGTGGGATGTGTGGAATTCTCAGTTTGGTTTGGAGACTCTTAAGCAGGTGATGGGTTTCCGTATGTGTCAGACACCCGATTGGGGAAAAAAAGGAATTGGGAACCGGTAAATGGATGGAAGGAGGAAGGGGCGCGAGAGCGCCACCCGGTGCTGCCTGTCAGTACTGTGCTGCCCAGCGGGTGAATATTGTTGATGTTCCTCCGCACACAGCAGCGTGCCAGCCCGGGCAGACCACGCTGGGAGCTACCATGTCGCTGTGCGCGTGTCGAGGTGCGCGTATCAGTTTGTTGATGTCAGTGTGTGTGTGTGTGTGTGTCTGTGTATCAGTGTGTGTGTAAGTTGGGGTATGTGTGCTCTGGGACCCTGCTCTGTGTGAGAGGCACTGCAAGTTGTTGTTGTGTGTTTCAGGGTGCGTGTTTGAATTGGTGTGTTTATATGTTGCGGGGGTATATATCGAGGTGTCTGTGTTGTATCGGGGGGGGTTTCTGTGTGTATCGGGTGTGTGTATGTGTAGGGTTGTGTGTGTGTCGGGTTGTGTGTGGGTCGGGTTGTGTGTGTGTGTGTCGGGTTGTATGTGTGTGTGTGTATTGGGGTGTGTGTGTGTGTGTCAGGGTGTGTGTGTGTGTATCGAGGTATGTGTTGGTGTTTCGCGACCCCGTCACTCCCACCCTCGCTCGCCTCCACTGGCTCCCCATCCCCCAGAGGATCGAATTCAAGATCCTCACCCTCACCTACAAGGCCATTCACGGCCTCGCTCCCTCCTACCTCTCCGACCTACTATCCCCCCACGTACCCTCCGTTCCTCCGGCTCCGGTCTGCTCCACATCCCCCGCCCCAACCGCCCGACCATCAGTGGCTTTCAGCCTCTCAGCCCCGAGGCTCTGGAACTCCATCCCCAGTGCCTTCGCCGCTTCCTCCCTTTCCTCCTTCAAGACCGGTCTCAAAACCTTTCTCTTCAACCGGGCCTTCAGCTCCGCTCTCGACTCTCTACCCCCTCCTCGCTCCTTCCCTTCCCTCCCCCTGACCATTTCCCCCCTCCTCGCTCCCTCCCTTCCCTCCCCCCGATCATTTCTCCCCCCAAGGCTCGGGTCCTGACCCAACTGTCCAGCGCTTTGGGACGTCCTCCCGACGTGAAAGGCGCTCTATAAATGGAATCTTGTTGTTGTTGCTGTTGTGTGGGTGTCGGGGGTGCGTGAGTCGGGGGTGCGTGATTCGGGGGTGCGTGAGTCGGGGGTGCGTGAGTCGGGGGTGCGTGTGTGTGTCGGGGTGCGTGTGTCGGGGGTGCATGTGTGTGTCGGGGTGCGTGTGTGTGTCGGGGTGCGTGTGTGTGTCGGGGTGCGTGTGTGTGTCGGGGGGTGTGTGTGTGTGTCGGAGTGTATGTCGGGGGGTGTGTATGTGTGTCGGGGGGTGTGTGTGTTGCGTGTCGGGGGTGTGCGTGTCGGGGGGGGGTGTGTGTCGGGGTGTGTGTGTCGGGGGGTGTGTGTCGGGGTGTGTGTGTGTGTCGGGGTGTGTGTATGTAATTGTCTGTGTCTCTGCTGTAGGTTACGTGCCTTCGTCGCGGCGACAGAGCTGTTTGCCTCGTGGCCGCCGAGCCTCTCTCACGCCTTCAGTCCGGCTCAAGGTGGAGAAGCTGGAGACGGTACGTCACTGGGACGATCCTCTCGGCTTTGGGACAGGTTCCCACTGGTGATAAAACACAGGCCAAGCCATGCTGACGTGTCTCCTCCGTTTTGCAGGCGCTGGGATACCTCGGGATAGAGACAACGGAGCAGCAGCAGCAGAGCCTGCGGCAGAGAATCCAGGTGGATTCCATGGGTACAGTGGCTTACGGAGGTCAGTGGAGGAACGGACAGACAGACACACACACAGACAGACGCACACACAGACAGACAGACAGACAGACAGATAGAGACACACACACAGGCACGCACAGAAAGACAGATAAACAGACAGAGACAACACACAGACACAGAGACAGACAGACAGAGACACACATACACACAGACAGACAGACAGATGGAAAAGGGGAAATAAATGATGGGGGAAAGAAAGGAGACAAAACCATAGGAGAGAGAGGGGAAAAGTGGGAAGAGAAGGGGAAAACAGGGAGCAAATTGCAGACTGCCCCCCAGCATTAGACACAGCACACTCACAATCTCACTGCCACACCCCCCCCCCCCATTAATATGGTTGAGCTACTCATCAGTGCTGAGTGTGTGCAGCAGCGAGAGGCATGGTAGCAAATAGTGCTCAACCCCAACCTCATCCTCTCCCCCACCGCTTCCCACAGACCTGGGAGTATGGACACACAGTGTAGAGGGAGTGTTACTGTGTCTGTAACCCTGACCTGGGAGTGTGGACGAACGCACAGTGTAGAGGAGCTTTACTGTGTCTCTAACACTGAGCGGAGGGTGTGACTCTGACCTCTCTCCTGTGATAGACTTTGTACAGGGAGCCCGCGATGTTTTCCGCCTGCAGTTGGACGAGGCTACAAGTGGGCCGGGCTCCATCACACTCTCCAGCGGGGACGTGTCCACACGCGGACAGACAGCAGAGCCAGTGGAACAGGTCAGCCCAACCCCTGTATACACATACACACACGCACACATATACACATGCACACACATACACACATATATACACACATGCACCCACACACACACACACACACATACACATATACACATGCACACACACATACACACACGCACACATATATATATGTACACATACACACATACACATGCACACACACACATATACACATGCAAACACACACATATATACACACACACACATACACATATTTATACAAATACACACACACATATACACACACACATATGCACACACACATATACATACACACACATATGCACATACACACCAAAGCACTGGACAGACAGGGATTTGGGCCCGAGCGGCGGGTGGCTGAGGGAAAGACCGGGGTAAGGGAGGGCGGTTGGCCAACCGAAGGTAAAGTCAAAGAGGACGGTCTTGAGTCGGGCCTTGAAGGTGGCGAGGGAGGGAGGGAGCGAGGTGAATGGAATGTGGGACGGAGTTCCAATGGGTGGGGGCGGAGAGACTGAAGGCCCAACTGCTGATGTTGGGGGGGGACTCGGAGCAGGCCAGAGCCCGATGAGCGGAGGGAGTGGACAGGTTGAACAACAGAGAACACAAGAACAACGGAGACAACAGTTTGCCCTCCAGCATCCTGTCTTTCTCAGAGAGAGCGTGACACAAGCCTAACCAGCGCCCCCCCCTCTCCCCTGTACTATGCTGTACCTTACTGTAGGGAGAGGAGGGGTGATATTCGCTCTCTCCCCCCACCCCTGGTTTGGTTACACACAGGGACAGACGTGTGCAGTGCTGATGCTGTGCCACCAGATGTTGCTGTCTGTCTGTGAATGGCTCACACTGAGGCAGCCGCGAATTGGGCACAAATTTGGAATTTTTTAAATTCAGACTTAATTTGATTTGTACGCACACATGTCTGGGTGTGTGTGTCTGTGTGTGTGTGTGTGTCTGAGCATGTGTGCGTGTGTAAGCATGTATGTGAGCGACTGCATGGGCGTGTATGAGCACATGTGTGAGTGAGCGCGAGTACGTGGGTGTATGTGAGCACGTGTGTGCGGGATTGCATGTGTGCGTGTGAGGTGCGTGTGAGGCACGTGGGTGAGCGCAGGTAGGTGAGAGTGCGTGTGGGTGAGTGCATGTGGGTGTGAGCATGTGTGCGTGAGTGCATGTGTGCGTGTGAGCAGTGCGTGTGAGTACGTATGGGTGAGACGTGTGCGTGTGCAGCAGACTAAACGCTGTGTGTAAATGTTGGGAACCCCGCAGGTGACGGAAGGTGATGAGGGGGAGGAGGACGAGCTAGAAAGCGTTAAACGGGAGTGGAGCAACGCGGTGACGGAGGTGAAGAAATTGAAGGTGAGAGGAATGAGCGGCCCCTATACTGCCTCAGGCCAGCCGTGAGAGACCCCCACCCCCAGGCTCGGCCTGGGATCAATCTAATCCCTGGTTTACATCAGCTTCCGGCTTCACTCCCCTCACTCTGTTCCTCAGCCAGAAGCCAGATCAACTCGTTTCCCCCCTCTCCCCCCGGCTCCCTTCACTCACGAGAGCGAGGGGCTGCCACATTCCCCCCCCCCCCCCCCCTCGCCAGAGGTAAAGGTCCAGAGTAGCATTAGAGTTCACGCTCGGAAGGGAGGGTGGGGTGACATGGGAGAGGGGGTAGAAGCCCGGGGAGGGCCAAGGCAGTGGGGTTGGGGGGGCGGGCAGATGAGGCCAGGGGGGGGCTCGAGACTGGGGACTGGGGGGAGGCGAGACTTTGGGGGGCGAGGCCAGGGTGTGTGTGGGTCAGTATTCACCGTAACCCCCCCTCTGTGTTCAGGAGGAGCTGAGTGAGTCGGAGAGGAGCAGGAGCCAACTCAGCGAAGAGCTGCACCGAGTCACACAGGTGAGGGCTCGGGTGGTGGTGGGGGGGTAACTGCAGGCGGAAGAGAGAGAGAAGGGGGTGGGCTTCAGGCTTCATTTGCAACTGGTTTTCAGTGAGAGGACCAGGGTTTGATTCCCAGTGCAGGACGAAACTTTAGGGAAGTTTCTCCACACGCCTCTGTTTACCTACCAGTAAGTAGGAACCCGGTTGTTAGTCGATTGGGTTATCCAGGGATAATAATTTGGTCACTTATTCCACGACTGTTTGTGGACGCTGCTGTGCACAATTGGCTGCCGGGTTTCGCCCACAGAATATACAGTCAATTCGCTTTACAGTATATTCTGTGAAGAGCTTTGAGACGTCTCGAAGATGTGATAAGGCGCTGTATCAAATCATAGAATCATAGAATTATACGGCACAGAGGGAGGCCATTCAGCCCATTGTGTCTGTGCCGGCACTTTGAAAAGAGCTTCCAAATCAATCCAAATCAAACCCCGCGCTTTCCCCGTAGCCCTGCAAACTCGTCCTCCCCAAATAATTATCTACTTAAAAGTTGTTATCGAATCAGCTTCCACCACTGTATTCCAGATTCCAACTACTCGCTGTGTGAAAAATTCCTCCCCTCCCCTCTGTTTCTTTTAACAACTATTTTAAATCTGTGTCCTCGGGTTACTGACCCACCCGCCAGTGGGAATAGTTTCCCTTTATTCACCCTATCAAATCCCCTCATAATTTGTCCCAAGGAGAATACTCCAAGGTTCTCTCTCCTGATAACTGAGGTCCCTCATTCCTGGTACCATCCTGGTCAATCTTCTTTGCACCCTCTCTAGTGCCTTGATATCCTTCATAAAGTGTGGGGCCAAGAACTGAACACAGTCTCTCACTGAGGCCTAACCTGTGTTTTATATAAAGGTTCATCATAACCTCCTGACTTGTGTATTCTATGCCCTATTCATAAAGCCCAGTGACCCGGATGCTTTTTTAACAGCTCTATCTGCCTGTCCGGCCACCTTCAAACATTTCCTATATGACCCCCAGGTCTCTCTGTCCCTTCCCCCCCTGTAAGATTGTCCCATCAGCGTATATTGCCTCTCCTCATTCTTCCTCTCAAAATGCATCACTTTGCATTTCTCCACATTAAACTTCATCTGCCGCGTGTCGGCCCACGTTACCAGTCTATCTGTGTCCTCTTACAGTCTGTTACTGTCCTCCTCACTGTTTATTACTTTTCGTAGCTTAGTATCATCTGCAAACTTGGAAATTGTGCTCCCTATACCCAAGTCCAGGTCATTTATATAGATCACAAACAGCAGTGGTCCCAATACCGACCCCGGGGGGACACCACTGCACTTCCCACCAGTCAGAAAAACAACCGTTCACCACTCTCTGCTCTCTGTCTCCCTGACAGTTCTGTATCCGCTGCCACTGTCCCTTTAATACTGTGGACTTCTATTTTGCTACAAGTCTCTTATGTGGCACTTTATCAAACGCCTTTTGAAAATCCATATAAACGACATCAACTGCACCACCTTCACCCACCCTCTCCGTTACTGCATCAAAAAACTTGTATCAGGTTCCTTAGTCACAATTTGCCTTTAACAAATCCGTGTTGACTGTCCTTTATTAACCCATATTTTTGCAATGAAAATTTATTTTCCCGGATTATAGTCTCTAGAAGTTTCCCCACTTCTGACGTTAGGCCGACTGGTCTGTAGTCAGTCAATGAAAGGATTATTATTATTGTGGAACTGAGACTGAATTGGGGTAATTTTCCATTGTGTTACGTTTTTAAGCGCGAAATGGTCTCACAGACTAAGAATTTGAAGTGGAACTTTGTGGTTCTGGTGCCTCAGTGTGATTGCCCCTCTCCCCCCCCCCCCCCCCCGCCACCCCCCACACACACCGACACAGACACACACACACAGAGTTGCTGTTACAGAGACAGATGTTGTGTAAGTCAGCGTCAGGGAAATGTGAGCCCAGCCGGTCACTGATGTTTGTGTGAATCTCGCATCTAAATCCATCTTCTTTGATCCCTCGCCTCGGATGTCAGCTGTGGTTAGTGAGGAGCAAACATCTGCTGTTATTCTGCCTTTTAATTTAACCATGTTACACAATGCCCAGCACACGCTCCCCCTCACCCCAGCCCCCACTCCCACTCCAGCCATCTTCCATGGGAACTCCCTCTA